TTATAAAATAACTCATAATTGTGTATATATTTTTTTTTCTTCGAAAAATTGATACAGGTATAAATATGAGAAGTTTCTTCGGCAATTGGTTTAAAAATAAACGATGAGCGTTCATCTAAAATCATATATGATATTAGATATATGCTTACGTAGGTTACATGCTATAAAAATACTTTCCGAGCTTTTACATTTAACCGAAAGCTCAAAATTCAAAAACTGATTTCGCTCTTCTGAGTTTTGCGTCTTCGCTAAGTAAACGTTCAAAACAATAAATATCTATAATAAAGTTGTATAAACTTTGACAATTAGGTAATTTTAAAACATTTCAATTCAAAAAAAATCTCAAATTTGTTGATTTGATTCAAATTTCTTCCTGCGACAACTTTTTATACTCCTTGAACTTGTTCAGAGCTACGGAACACAGCAATAAAGTAAAAAGTTTTTTTTTGGCATTAAAACTTCCGATGTTCATAAAAGAGCAAACGTTCCATGACTATGATGATGTTAAGGATGCAATTTCTTCAAGATGTAAAATTTTTCTCGTCTCTTCTCATAAATTATATCGTAAAGACATGCTGAAAAAAAAGTTAATTAAAAATGAAAAATTAAAGCTTTTCATTACTTTAGTTCATAGATATTTATTATCTCTTCTTTTGTTTTCATATCGAGTTGATTTTCTTCGCAATTACTTGACATTTAGCTGTATTCCTTTAGAGATTTTATTTTTCTTCTTGTAGGAAACATGAAATCGAAGTAATACATTGAATCGTATTAAGAGATTATCAATGATTAGAGTTGACACAGAAAAAAAAGCTGAAATTGCTTTCATTACTATTCAGTAAAGCTGATCTTTTAAGCCACTTGTGCTGAACATTGATACCACCCAGACCATCATTAAACTGAGATAAAATCAAAACTCAAAGTGACATCATAACATGTTTCTAGGTATGTTTGACATCAGAGGTAGCATAGCAAAAAAAAAAGAAGAGAAAAACTGATCAAATATAAAAATCTTTCGATTTTCTAGAGCAAATTTTTACGAATGATTTTTCGCTAAGAATTCCAAATCAAAATGTCACGCTTTGAGGCTACAAATGAAGATAACAACGATAACAATCAAAATCCTTGCTGTCGGATTTGTTTTTCATCACACCAATATTTGATATCAATGCCTTGCAACTGTTCCGGTTCTGTTGGTTATGTACATAAACGATGCTTTCAGAGATGGTTGAAAAGCGTAAGGAATTTTGATACCTGCGAAATCTGCCACGAAAGTTACGTAGAAAGCACATTGATTCCAAAAAGGTTTGTCAGAATGTTTGAAGGATGCGAATGAAATAAGTAATTCTTTTCTATTTTTTTTTTGTTGACATCTGTCATCTATCCTGGCAACGCGTAGAAGCCTCAAGAAATTATTCATGACATTCTTCCATCGACCTTTTTACGGACTTTGTAAATTTTGCGTGAATTTTACTCTCACTGCTGGAATTGGTTACACTCTAAGCCTTAAGGTATTTCAAGTATTTATGAATGGTCTTTTATCAAAGCGAAACTTTCTTTTCTCTCCCCACCTGACACCAGCTGCCTGTAATCTTCAATTTCCTGAATTCCTTTGACGTCAACCAAGAAGCAACAATCGTTCAAGGAGTTCTTTGGCCAATGTTGACAACAATTCCACTCTTTGCGTGTTATTGTCTCTTCATTGAACGAACAACAGCCAGTTGTCATGAGCTTTTATTACTCTTAAATGAATGGAGATATTACAATAGATGGATAGCATTTCAAGCATTAGAAGATAGCACTGAGAATTTAAGAAATTCGAATATCATTGACTCAAGTGAAAGCATCCAAGACAACGTCATTCTCTCCACATCTTCTTTTCCAGAATAAATAGATTTTGCTGTGCATAACAAAAAAATAAAAGAATAATAAGAGATTGCGAAGGAAGAGAATAAAATCTAATAGGAAAATAAAAATATGCTTTTATGAAGCTTCAAATCACACCCGAGAGATTACAGTGATGTTGGTTGTAAAAGAATGAGAAAATGGAGCAAAAACAGAAAAAGAAAGCTACTCTCAATGCTCATAAATCTAATTTCATAACTTCACAAAAGCGATAGCAACAAATACAGCAACAAAAGATTCTCGTAAAACTCTCGTTATTTAACTGAAGCTCTATAAATAAAACTGCAGAATCGTTAAAACCGAGATTAAGTTTTTAATTACTTCAATTACTTATTGAAAATAAAAAAAGGGTCTCGTGAGAAAATGAAGCGAGAGAGGGAAAATGAAATAATAAAGGAAAGCTTTCTGGGTATCCAAGTCAGCAGAAAATAATCTTTCACTCGAAGCCAACTAGGCTCAATGACTTAGAAAATGAATGGAAAGATGAAGACATGACATATAATGAGACGAGTGTGTATTGAGACATTATCTCGATAATAATATTCTCCTTCTTTCCTTTTTTTGTGATGAATCATTAGGAATTTGATCCATTGGAGCTTAATTTGGCTTAATGCTTCATTGAGCTCTCAAGAGTTTCATTTATAGTACTAAGTAAGATGACCATTAGTAGGATTTTGATTTATAAATAATGAATGTTGGTTTGTTGATTCCTTTGCTTTGAATATCTTTCTACATTTTTTTATCTCTCATTATACATCTTTTTAAAACTCATTCATAAACGAAATACCGAAACATGCAAATTTATTAAAGCTTCTTTTGCAAAAATAGAATGAATAATCTGGAATCATCATAAATAATGTTGTTTGTAGAATGCCATTGAATATTTACAAGAGAATTTCTTATTTGATTTCGTCTAAGAGAAACGAGAAAAACGGGAAGGAATGGATAAGCTTTAAATAAGCTTTAAAGTTATAACCATTTTGATCTTTCAAATCCTCACTGTAAAGCTGTTGTAACTCAAGCAATTTCCTTCATTGATGCTGAATGTTCATCGAATCAATCATGTTGACACTTCAGTCACCGCAACAATGACTGATTGGGTAATTCAACTTTCATGTCATCACGTTTTACATGAAATTGAAAATTCTTTGACCTTTAACGTTGTTAGGAAAATGTTTTTGTTTATTTCTTTTGGTAACACGAAAGCAATTTATTTTCAGCTGAACTTGCACTTGTAGAAATTCACATTTAATAAATTTCAATAACGATTTTATTTATTTGCATAAATCAATGTTTGCTGTCTTAAACAGGAATTTAATTATTTCCAGATCATAGACATTTATCATCGTTTCTCTCGTTTTACGTTTGCAAAACCGATACTCAGATATGTTGTTAAATATCATGAACAATTCAAATAAAATCTTGTTGAGTTTTTATTTTTACTCTTCGATCATAATGATGATGATGATAACGACTTGAGAAGTTTCTTCATTTTCCATTCTTTAAAACAAGACTCAAAGTCGATATCTTCGAGTTAGAGTGATGAGAAAGTTTGTTAGGAAAAACTTTTCTTTCTCTCCTCCCTTTTATACTTAAAACTTTTCATCTTTCATTTTACTGCAAGGTATTTGTTTGCTTTTCATTCCCATTCTAAATTGCGAGCTTTTCCTTTCTAATGATAAAGCAAACGACAGTTACATTACACCAGAATTGTTGCTGGAGCGAAGCAAACTTTCAAGTTAAACTTTTTTTTCTCATCATTTTTCTTTAAGACCTGTCGACAGGAAATGAAATGTTTCCTTCTACATTAATCTTTCTTTTTGTGTAATCTTAGTGAAAACAATGACGAGACATTGAAATTCTTTAAGTCATTTTTCTCTCAAGAAGAATCACAAAAAAATAATTGTGAATTATTAAAAGCTTTTGTGTCCATAAAGGTGAAAGAAGACATGAAAAAGAAAGAGAAAAATGCTCGTAAATATGTTTGTCACAATGCTTTGATTACTTCTGAAATGACAAACTTCCGAATGTCATAATAATTTGCTGGTAATATAACAGACAGTATATCACATAAATATTATTTAGAGATGAAGACAGCGAAAAGAAATCTCAGATGTTCTTTTCACCTCCCAACTCACTTTCCCCTACATCACCTTTAATAAACGAAATCGTAATTTCGTCCCAACTTTATCTATAAATGACGACAATTTACGTATCTAATTTTCGTATGTGTATAGCTCTTGTCATATTAAATAGAATCAATTAGTCAGAAAGCTTAATCACAAGCACCTTTCATAGATGACAAGTGAACCAAATATAAAATAAATGGAAATGGAAGTGAGAAAGTTTTTTTTTGCCAGAAAACTCATTTCATTTCACCGAATTAATGTCGGAGTTGTCTTTCATAAAACATTATGCATTTAATGAATGAAATCTGGACAAACATGGAATGTCTGCGTTGCTACATTTCTATCATAGAGTTCTCATAAATTTCACTTATTGCTTTTCTCTTGCTTCTGTTTGACTTTCTTATTCAATTTAATTTAGTTTTTCTTTATGTGGGAAAGGATTTGCAAATGGAAAATCAGAAAATAGAAAAATTAGGCATGGAATGATGTCGAATAAAAAGCATTTTCAATATCTGAGATTGGAAAATTCTTTGCGTTCATGTTGTTTCTCCTTTGAATGCATTCGAAGCCATTTGGCGCCTGTCGATTGGTAATTCATTTAAAAGTAAATGAATTTTTTCTGTGTCATCACAAAACGAAATCCCAATTCAATTTCATTCATTCCCAAACGATTTCAATGCTCAGAAATATGAAAGTCATTTGTCATTTTGCCTGTTCGTGCTTTCAAGCATAATGTTGTGCACAAATTGAAAAGGTGAATTGAATGGATGCAAATTATTTTTGTGTATTGAAATACTTTTTCCGGGATTTGGGAATCTGTTGAATTCTCAGAAAGATTGAAAGGTTTTCTTTCCTTCCCTTTTCCTTCTTTTCATTAGGTTCGACTAAGTGTGGCCAAACGAAAGATATGACGGAACAATGAAGTGAAAAATAAATATTCTGCTTTTTGGGTAGAATTTCTTTTTCGAAAAGAATTTTTATTTTCCTTTTCTTGTGAATAAATTGAAATGGTTCACATTTCTTATCGCTCTATTCGTATTCAAAAATTGTGCGCTCGATTGATTCTATTTGGACTGCTCGAGCTTTTCATTGTTCGCAATCACTTCTTGTTCAGTTCGTGTGCCGTTCTTTTTTCTCAACGATCAACAGTTAAAAGATAAAATTTGATAAATCTGACTTGAACCGATACTCGATACGTCTTTGTGTGTAATATTTTGATTGAAAAAGTTTCCAATTCAATTCGAATGGAAAAGTGATAGCGATAAAATGCTATGTAAATCTCTCTCGTATATTTCACTTTTCCTTGCCGACGTCGTCATGCAATCATGTTAAATTGAATTTGAGAAGAAAAAGGAATAACAAGAAGAGTTAGAAAGAAGAAAATTCAGGTCAAATGGGTTCACATCATTCGTCTCCAGCTCAACATTCTCTTTCGACGATTTTCATCCCAAATTCTTATCACAGCTTTTCGCTCTCATTTTCATCTCTTCATTCTATGATTTTCATCTCGCGTGCAGATTCAAGAGAATGAAAATCTTTTACAGTGAAATTTTCTTTTATCATTTCGACCAGTTTGTCGTCAAACTCTGCTCGATGCGGTCGGAAATTATTTTGCTGCTCGTGATTGAGAATAAAATTTTTTAACATTGGCTAACTTTCATAAAAATAAAAAATAATAATTGAGAAATTTGAAATTCAAATATGACTTTGTGTTAAAAAAATGTGTAAAATTATGTGAATAAAAATATTATTGAATGTAAAAATTGAGGAAACAAAAGATTTAATTTGTGTTGAAATCAGAGGAATTTTATTACCTAGTGAAGATAATGAAGATAAAAATTTGTGAATGAAGGCATTTCAGTGACGAAAAGAATTAAAAAAAATGTAAGCAATGCAAATTTATGGAATAAAACATCGCACAAAGTGTAATATTTCTCAGTCGTCTTAGAAGGATTACTTTTCGTCATGACTCAACATGATGAAAGGAGACAAAACTTTCAAGCTTGAATAATGTTGATGAGGATCAGATAATGAGAAGGCGGAGAAAAATATGAAACATGATTAAATAGTTAAAGACGCCTTCATGTTAATTCAGTCTCTCATAAGTGACATCATAAAAAATTTTATGTTTATTCATTCAACCATTTATTTATTTATTGAAAAAAGATAATAAAATAGAAGCAATTAGTCCAAGGGATGAAATGAAATTATGCGAACAAACGATACATTTACATACACAAGGAGTTTAATGATAAATTGAAAGCGATGAGATCGGCACCGCTGTGCCATTAGTAAAATTTCATACATGATAAAATTCCCCTTTGGACTCTTTTGAAAGCATCCAACATCTTTGACGAAACATTTAATGTATTCTTAAGTACTACAGTTATCTATGTGGGTTGAGAATGGTATACGATATCTTTGAAAAATAATCATAATACTAATCTGATGATATTTTATTGACATAATTTATATATGTACATACGAAGCGATAGATGACAAGATGATGAACGTGAAGAAGCTTTTAACATGCACAAGCTCACTTTATAATAAAACAGCACGTTAAACGTTGTGGATCTATTGATTTTTCTTTTCTCCTTTTCCGGATCATAACTGTATAAATATGTTGTCCGCATATCAAAGCAAACATTTTTCTTTTTTGCTTATTTTCCCGTAAGGCCCAAATCTTTACATCGAAATCCATTTTTGTAAGTAACTTTAAAACATTATTTATGTTTCGAAGTCTGGCGTGTTGTGCCTTTGTCGACGAGAGAAAAATTCCCAAAACAGACTTCGACTTTTGTGTGGTGTATAATAAATCAACGATAACCAGAGAATAAAACCGGAAGTTTTCAATATTCTTTATTTGCCTGCGAATGGTATTCTTCATTGTGTGTGATTTCTCTCTCTTTCTCCTTTCTTTTTGCTTCCGTGATTTCCCTTCTTCGATTTGATAAAGAAAAAAGAAACCTGCAAGCAAGTTTCCTCTCTTTTAAACACTCAAAACTTTTTTTTTCCTTCTTCTGAAAGTTGAAAACGATCCTTGTGAAAAGAAATGGAAATCTGTTTGACAGAGTCGGAAGAAGGAAAGAACACAATAATTTCTGAATAATTTATGGTGAGATTTTTTTCTAAGTATACTTTACAAGTCACTAAAACTGTTGTTATCGGTGAAGATTTAAAGAGTGAAAGAATCTCATGGAGTTAAACATGACCGTATTCAAAAATATTCAAAGAGTAGAAAGAAAGTTTTATGGTGGAAAAGTGGAAAAGTCGCTAGAGGGGTGATTGTGTGATAACTGTTAATGGGGTGACCACCAAAAGCCATTAAGCTCAACATTTAAAACAACACTTAACTCTGAACACAAAGGATGACAGGAAATTGTTTATCTGGCTGCCCTCTAAGGCTTTTTCTCACTCTCCAGGTTGTCTGCTCGAAGTTTTTCGAATTTCTGTTCTGAATATCCTAAGAGTGATAATAATTCATGAGACAGTTTTTTCCTCCTATTCTTCTCACTGTGAATAATGAATAAATGAAAAAGAGCTTTCGGGCAATGAATCTAGTGTTTGACTTCATATCTCTCCACCTCTCACAGTCAGTAGTCAGAAGTCTCAACAGCCGACATGAAAGTACTTTGTATGCTGAAGAAACTTTTCCAAGAAAGATAAAAACTGCCTTTTTACACGAAGCTCTCACTTGAAAAACTTACATTTGAAATTCAAATTTAATTCACTCTCCAAGAAGCTGAGAAAAAAAAAATACGAGGGAAAAATAAAATGAAACTCTTTTACTCGTAATAAATAATATCAGCTTGTTTGCCAGATTTAGTTTAACATATTTAAAGAGGGGGAAATAAAGAAATTCTATAACTTTCTTGAGACGCTTTTTTTTTTCTTCAAGAAGAATTTCTATGCAAATTATAAGACTCATGAGAGCTTTAATATTTATTCTCACAACATCGAAAAGCAGACGAGAAACAATTTTCCTTTTATTATTTTATATCGTAAGTAGATATCAAAATAAAATTGTTTTTTCTTAGATTTGATTTTATACGACAAACTTTCATCATATGAAATAAATCAGAAAAGATTTTCCGGCAGTTTTCCAGTTCATCCAAGTGCCAGATTTAGTTACAGTGTCATTCGCCCTTTTTTTATTCACTCCTTGGTGTTTATTTTCATTCGCTTTTCATCGTCCTCCGCATCGTGGATAAAAGTTAAATAAACTCGTCTAGGGGAAAATTTGTTTTTATTTAAACACTTTGCTGCTTGAGTTTCTCTTTTTTTTATTGATGGAAAGGAATTTCTCTTCCAGTCTATTTTTTTATTTAATTTGCTTTGTCTACAATTTTTCACCCACGTCTGCAAGTAACAAGAACTACATAAAAGATATATTTCTATCCAAAAAACATACAAGATTTACTGAAACAAAGTGATAATAAAAAGAAAAACTGTGAAAGTGTTTGCGAACATAAGGCAGGTGAATGTGATGTTGACGACGATTTCATTTCTCATGAGAGTGAAAATCTATGCATATACATAACGAAAGGATATGAGGGAAGGAATAAACGAAAGCAATAAGCAAAAAGCCTTTATGATGAGAAATTCGTGCCTTTTTCAGTCTCGTATTTTCCCTTCCAGTTTAGGTTTTGATTGAATTACCTAAAGCACGTCGCTTGAAAGCCAAAAATACCTGAGAAGGAGCTTTTATGCTTATCTCATGGCATTGCAGAACATAATTCCACAGCAATTTCTTCCCACACATCTTCTTTACACTGCAAATTGGTAAATTCGTTTGGAGCTAACTCAATTGCTTGTAGATGGATGTATTTAAGTCTGGGTCAGGATGCTTTACTTATTTTCTTCTTCTTATTCATCTCCTTCCCCTCCTTTTATTTTCGATAAAAAGAAGTTTCAACGGCAGTCAGTCTGAACGCGTTGCGAGAAATGGACCAAATATCTCATAAATCCAAATTGTAATGATCCCAAATTTATTTTTCTTTCTTCATCTTCTTCCATCATCTTCATGGACTTGAGAATCGTTAAAAGTCTCGTTTTTCGCTGCTTAAGGCAGTTAAAAGAGTGAATGATAGAAAAATGTGAAACATTGAAGTACTTAACGATCAACGCCACATATCTTCACACACTTTCCGGCCGTAAAACAGAAGTTTCGTTTTTAATTATCTATGAAACTTGTGCTAATAATTGCCAAGGGTTTTATTTTTGTATTTAATAAAAGGTACTTTATAAATTATCATCATTATTGTGTGCGGCGTAAGCGAACAATTAATAAATAAGTAAATCTAACAAACCATTTTATCCAAACGCTGTTTAATTTGGAAGATTACATGCTCGCTTTATTTATCCCACTGACAGTTTCAGCGCTCTTCTTGAAAAGTCTTTCTGCTGTGTTTTAATTACGTTTGAGACAATCTTTTATTTAATACGCGAATGCTTACATGTTAAAGGCATCTCAAGGGAAATTTCTTCAGCTATTTAACGTAAATTGCTTCGATTAAATTACTGCGTCGTTGAATATGATGTGGTTTCATTCTTTCCTGCTTGTTTGCTTTGTTCTGCTCGGTTTTCAAGCGTGCAAGCCCGTATGATATTGTGAATCAAATGAACGACAAATAAATTGATGCCGGAATGAAAAGGAAATAAAATTTTCTGGCAAAGCTTTCGTCTTACTTCGATTGTCAACTTCAGATTTTCAACTGCTAGTAACTCCCATGATGCCAAGAACATGAAGCTTTGCAAACGAAAGCTTCAGTAAACATTTCACTGGCGTTATCTTCTTAGAATTGAATTTGAATACGCATTCAATTTTCCACCCACACTTTTTTCTTGAGCATAGCCATTTTATCAATATAAATGAGAAGGGAGAGTAAAGAGATGCTTTATCAAAGCACGAACTGAGATTAAGATACAAGAAACAACCTCCATCGACATTAAAAAATGGATTTGCCTCGTTGTGAAAGCAAAGCCTCGGATTTTATTGCTTTTTCATCTTTTTTTTTTGTTTTATTTCAAACCAATTTTAATAAAAAAAAAGAATGAAGAAAGCAAAAACACGAGTAAAGTTGCAAACAGCAAGTGCCGGAAAAGGATGAAAAGAAAGCAAATCAGAAAGTCTTCGCGAGCTTTTAAAAGCTTCTTAAAACAATTCCAACAATAAAATAAAATGTAGGGCCTCTCGTGTCGACTTGAAAGTCACTGAAATGAATTTAACAACCTTTGTTAACCATTGTACTTAGCTAAACGAAAATGAAAACAATTTTTTCATTTTCATCGTTCATGGTAAAAGGTTCATGTTGAAAAAGATAAAGTTTAAACATAAGAAACCTTCGCTTCGTACATCAAATATCAGTTTATCATATCTTCGTCCATTAAGGAAGATAAATTTGTAGACGAACGAAATTATCATAAATTTTGAGTTACTTCTTGTTTCTGTTTCTTCCTTTGGGGCGAATGAAACTTAAATTCAATCATAATTTCAGTTTAAATCATGAACCCGGGATGAAGGATAAGTTTGAGAATCATCGTCTTATCCCATAAAAATATTCTCTAACATCGCATTTATCTCGTCGTTCGTACGAAGATATGTATGTCGAAGGCTGGGAAAATTTATGATTGTGTCGCTCATAAAAAAAAGCTTTTTATGAATCTGCATTTAATATAAGTGAGAGAGAAAGAAAGAGCGAAAAAAAGGAAACGAAAGTAAAGTTTATCCCAACATGAAGCGGAAAATTCAATTTCATGGAAAAACGATAAAGCGCAGCTGGGAATTGCAGAACAATATATCATATATTAATGTAAAATTAAATGGTTTTAATTATTCCCAAGATGGAAATAATCATTAACCGAATGAGTGGAAATAATTACACCGCAATAATTGAGATTGTAATTAGTTTTCTTCTATTTTCGTTATTCATCTTACCAATTTTCTTCTATTTCTCATTTTTTGGGCATTTAACGTTCATTAGTGTGGAGTTTTATCGATGTAACATTTAAAAAAATCTCCCAATAATAATCATATAATCAAGTGGAGATAATTTGGAATTTGAAATTGCCAGAGGATTTAAAGATAAAAGAAGAATAAATTAAAAATTTAAGCCATGACAGATTTTAAATACACTTCGAGTAATTACAATAAAAAATCATCGATCGCTGATAGAACAAATGCGACGACCACGACAAACACCATCATGACAACCACATCGAATGCAACTTCATTATCGGACGAAAACTCCCGTCGACCACATCCTCGTCTAAAAAAATCATTTAGTGAATGTGAATATTACGATGGCACTGGTTGTTCAGGTTCGAGTGGAATGGAAGTCAGCTTTAATTTATCACCATCGAATAGACAATTAAAAGATGCAGTTCGTGGTGACTTACATCACCAACATATGAAACAAACATCGATAAATGATATAACATTTATCGATGGAGACAATGCAAATAACTCTAAATTACAATATAATTACGACACCTTAAAATCACAATACCTCCTACAACAACAGCAGAAGCTGAAAGAATATAAAAATGATCCCAATTATCTTACTAATGGTGATAATTATTCGAGTGAGTCATCGACAGAGACTCGAGGTATTCTCAAGAACAATACAAAAAACACAAACCCTACGACAACTACAGACTCATGCAATAAAAACTCATTGAAGCGGAACAAAGGATTGAGCACATTATCGTTATGTAGTTGCGATGCCGAGACAGAGGTAAGTAAGATTTTCTTTATTCGTTATTATTATCCTTTTCCCCTCCATCAGTTTCTGCCATTATTTGAATTAAGTTTGAATATCCTTTACCTCTTCTCAGCTCCTTAAACATAGCATAGCAAAGCACATAGAAATGCTTTTATTCAGAAAATCGTTAATCGCTCCGGTTGACTTGAACGAAAAAGGGTTGATGAACAGATGAATAGATTTTCTAAAGAAAGGGGAAAAAAAAACATTCAAAAATAAAACAATTGATTGAGTTTCACGTTCATCGGATTAAGTTGAGGCTGACCACAAGTGATGAATTGAAATCAATCTTCTTCATCATTGAAAGTATCGAATAGGTTGGCATGCCTATCGATTTTCCTTTTTCATTCATTCTGTCAGTTTTAATCCTTCGTATTATCAATGATGTAAGCGTAAACAGCAGATTTCAACCTTTTCAAGGAAAAAAATTTCCCTTTTTTGTTGTTTTTCTTATTTCCGGTTTCATCCAACCAATGAAAGCTCTTGACAATTAAAAATTATTTTCGTTTAGTTGAAACAAAGAATTTTTGTTGCTTACTCTCTAAGGGGAGCTAATTGGAGCTTTTTTAAGCCTAAATATGGTGCTTCATTATTTTTGATTGTTATTTTCTTACTTTTTTTTCTTCTTTCTTGTTTTTGGTAACAAAACAAACATAAAACCTTTGGACGAACAAAAGGTTATACCATCCCAGTCGAGACCATTATATCAGTACAGTTTAGATCGCAAACGTCCGCTCCACACATACACCTGCGAGCAAAACGCACAAATTTTATTGAGGTTGGAAAGGGAAAGACAGAGAAAATATGGTTCATCTGGACGTCTGACGGTACGTGACAAAAGCGCGTTAAAGTTCTAAAAGATGTTAACGAATCATTTCTTTGATCCTTAGCAACATTTTACTGGCGTGCCGAATGCTGACTACAATCTAAAACCGCAGGCTAACAATGTAAATCGTAATGATACTGGGAGTTTAAACATCGACTTTAATGCCAATAATCGGATGTCGGGATGTCCTGAAACAAATCACATTGAGGTGAGTTTAGTGTTGAACTTTATTAAAAAAATTTATTGTTGAACTATTAAATTTTATTCACTTCCAAATGAGCTTCCTACTGAGACAAATGCAATTTATTTTGCAAAATGGAAAATTAATTAGCTTTTACATTCCACTCTGCATTGACAAAATGAATAAATGAAGATAACTGACTCATGTTGTTCATCATGACAAACTGAATAAAGTTAAATAGAATTTGTAACGATGGCGCATGAAAATTCCGGGATTTTAAACGACAATTTATCTATCAATTACTCTTGCTGCTGCTACTGCTGCTACTGTTAATTAAAGTCTTTTTGGCTTTTGTAGCTGATGTTTAAAATTGCAAATTTTTTAGTTGCGAATAAAACTTTTAGCGATGAAATATTTTAATAAAATTTTTAATTATTCATTACTGAAAAGTTGACGGTAATTCCATAAATTTTTTATTTAATTTTACTTATCTACATAAATATCATGTAGATTAAAACATCTGATTAGGAAAGCCATTGATTCCCGTGAAATTTATGCTAATTATAAATTTGATGTTTCTTGCTTAAATGATGAACATTTTCATTCACTTCCAATTTAGTTAGAATTATATTTGCATTCATTAAATGTCGAATATTATTAAGGAGGTGAAAAAGGGGAAAAACAAGCAGAGGGAAGAAGATCATAATTCTTCATTAATGAATAAATTTATTCCATTCTGTATGCTACGTCACACGTTTTCCTCATTCAATCTGCACACGATCTAAACATACTTACCGAATATTCATTTACCCTTATCTCCTCAATTCCCTCGAAATTGAATTTCATCGTACGTGCGTTGTTCTTACATCTTACAACAAAAGCTTCTGAATATATTTCATGCCAATTAACCTCTGTGAGTTAATCTGTAGGGCTCAAAACTTTAATAAATGCCAAAATTTCAAAGCTCTGAAGCAGCTTGAGATGTGAAAGACAATGAGAAAATATCTTATCTTATATTGCTCGAGTAATAAATTAGATACTTGAAATGGCAGAAAATTTAAGATGGTAGAGATAAAGGAATTTAATGTTTTCGCATTCCGAGATGCTCGCTTACAAATGAATGGTTTGCTAATTGTGCTTCAAACAAATATTAAATCCATGTTTGAGATCTTAAAAAATTATCCTTGCATCTGCCAATAGAATTGACTGAAGCAAACCAAAACTCCCACTCAAACATATCTTAAGCTGAGAAAATTGGAAAATTTTCTTCATTTCATCAACAATCATGTTAAGAGTTAATAAATTTCACAGCTACTTCACATCATCATCGGGGGAGCTTTTGCCGAATCTTTTCATCGAGATTCAATCGAGCGCAATAATACCTCACTTTAATCTACTTCTTTTTCATTCAATCACGATCGATAGAAAGCAATCGAAATCAGCAAGCGATTATGTTGACTGGCTGTGAGAGAAAACAATTATTGACGTATGCTTCAAGAAGCTTTTCGATTGTGGTCCATTAAGTTTTCAATTTTATTTTTCGTCCCATCTCCTCCCTTACTTTGGGGATGTCTCGTGAATGAAACGTGGGAATTTTTCACTTCATCTATGATGAGAAACAAGAAACAGAAAAAAAAAAACAAAAAGATTAACAACCTCTGGAAAAGTCCATGAATGAGTCTCAAGAGAGTACAAAGCTTTCACTTTCACTTTTAGGAGATGAAATGAAAAGAAATAAAAAGGTTGAGAGACTTTTATCGGAGGGAAATCTTTTTGATAAGAAAAAAAAATATTTGTTTGTTGCAAAATCTAACATGACAACTTACAAAATTTATTAATTTGCCCTTTGGCTGTTGAAGAAATAAACCTTAAATGTACAGATAAATACAGCAAGAAAATATGAATTCAACCCTCCCCGACTTCAACAAATGTTCCTTTGAGGAAATAAATTGGAATTTCGCTTCATTTCAACAATAGACTGAGCAATGAAAAGAATTTGTTGCTGTGAGGGGAAGCAGAGTTGTCAGACGATTGAATATAAAAAAAAATGAAATAATGACTGAAATTATTTTTTCTCATTTTAAATAATTAAATTTAATTGAACCACAATCAGTTGCAGTCTGTCATCAACTCTGAACTTCCAGAATCTTTTTTTTGTAGTCTTATAAATTCCAAATGACTGATTTGCAGCCCTGAACGTAGCTTTCGTGAAAGCGTGGATAGGTTTCAGGGGGGAACAGGAAGGAATCGTTGGTATTTAACAAAGTATTTTGAGCTTCTCCCTTCTATTCTTTTCTTGGAAATATCTAAATGGAAAAATGAAGAAAAAATTAGTTAGACGAGGAAACGATTTTGTACTCGTTTCTTGCTTTCAGTTCTGATGATGGATGATGTTGCGCTGTGATAAGAACTCTCAGTCTCTGCTTTGAATGTTACTTTTTATCATCTTTTTTCCTTCAACATTTGATGTTGTACATCAATTTGCTTACCAAAATGACTGACCTGATTCCCAAAACAAATTGATGTTCCACGAAATGGAACGAATCATTGAATAGTAAATGAGTTTAATGTTCGAAACATTATGTCAGTCTATAATTTGAAGGGAAGAAAACAATTCTGACATAAATCATCTGGTCAACCTAAACGCAATGACATAATTTAACATAAAAAATGTTTTATAATGAATTGAAAATGTTCGAGAGAAGAATTTCGTGGAAATATTTTCAGCATGAAGATGGCAAGAAATATTGAATATGTCATAAATCATAAGTTTTCATATTTCCTGTTGGTACAGCTACAAGAATCCTTGCGGCAGCAAATGATATTTTCACATTCACATTCCATGATTTTGTTGCTGTCACTACTAATGTCAATGCTTTTAAAATATCATTAATATCACAAAGTTCGCTTTGAAAGGAAGGGAAGGAAGAAAACGTGACAATATCACAATATCTCTCGAGAAATTATTATTTCTCGATTCTCAATCGCGTCATTTCCTTTCCGACTCATGCGACTGACACATTTTCTTTCTCTTTTAAACAGATATTTAGATATCATTGGGAAAAAGGAAAATTGAAAAATGAAATGATTTTTTTCTTCCCGTTTTCTTTTCGCCTAAAAGCTTTTTCTCGTTCGTTCGGTTTCTACATAAGATGATTTCAACATACGCTTCCGTAACTTCCGAAATCGAAGAAAAACTGTGAAAGAATTCTTTTTTCCCGTCTACAATTTTCTTTTTATTTCCTGCTCTCATTCCAAAAAAAAAACTTAAATAAATAAAACACCAAAATGTTGTTTCGAAGTCTGAGTTATTAATAATGAAATAAATATTTATAACCTTACAAACAAAATCATGGAATATTAATCTCGTTTTAAAAGGATAATTAAAATTCTTTTTTATACACATATTTGGAAGCTGAAAGTCTCGCGGCTCTTTTAAGAATTTTATTTGAATTTAATGGCAAAGCGTGAGAGTGAGTCAAGTCCTGAAAGCTGGAAATATTTTAATGAAATTTGAAGCTAAATCTTAAATGATACCCGAGAAAAATAAGGAAGCAAAGACATAAAATTTTCAACAATATTGTCGGAAAGTTATTTTTTAATTAATCCACCCGGATCTTGGGGAGGTTTGCGTGCTTAGCAAGCGCGAACGTTTACTAAAAAAAGGAGAAAGCAAAAAAACAAAATTAATTGAATTTTTCATCGCACGAAGAAAAGCTTTTTTATGTCTCTTTTACGCTGCCATGTTCTGCTGCTTTACTCACTTAATTTTGAATAAATTTTTGCAGAACGAGGTGTTTATTGGTGATGTTAATCGTGTTAATGGCATCAGCATTAAGACCGAAGACAATACAATTCCACCGAATTTTCCACCACCACCTATCAAGTCAATGTTGAGACGAAATTCTTCAATCACTAAACATCAACCAATGAATGTTTCTGCCAATCCAGTGATCAATCAAAATCCATCAATCGAATTTACGAGACCAAATTCGTCAACATTGCCATTGAACAAACCTGACCTTTTCAATTTTGCAAACGCCCCAACTCCAATGTTGATTGAAGGAATGAAAGGCTGTCCGCCGTTGATCGATGACAATGTTAAGCAGTCAAAAGCGCCTCCGCATAGCGATGCAAATATTTCACATACAAATACAAATAACTGTCAATCAAAACTCGCATATCCACTCATATTTTGTGACGATCATCAAATGTACGACAAAGAGAATTCCTTTTACCTTTACCATCATGAACCTGCATCATATTTGCCAAATTATGACAATATATCTTCGAAATATCCAGAGAAATACAATACGATGGAATGTTCGGGGCCGATGTTCCCCTTGCAGCACTTTAACATTCCAATTAGTAAACTTCATGCCAGTACTTGTAACCTGAACAATCAATTCAACTCATCAAACTTAATTAATGACCATCATTTCTCAAATTCGTTGAGTAATTTCAATATGATGGATCCCCATCAGCAAATACAAAACTACTATAACTTCAATCCATCATTCACACAACTGCCCGACACGATGAGAAGAGGTGGAGGCGTGGGAGGTATGCCTACTGGCTTTGGAAGTTCGTCAATAATTGGAAGCTCTTTTGCTTCTAACATCAGTCTTAATGGTACACCGAAACAGCAAGCAAATATGCCATGGAAACATCGACAATGTTCAAGTCGAAGTAGCAGTTCAGGAACGAATTCTTCAAGTAAGTTGCTTTCTATCTTCACCATGCATGAACATTTTCCATCCCTTGAGATGTTTTCTTTTCATTCATTTTCAATAACTGAATTTACATCACAAATATTTCCAGTTTATTATTAGAAAAGCTTTAACAAAGAACTTTAATCTTATAATGTCAGTGCACTTGTTCATTCAAATTTGATTGGACAGAACTTGAAGTTAGATTGTGCAACATAAGAAAAGGAATTTTCTATGAATATCTACAAAGAAATGATTTCCAATAATAGAATGCTAGAGAAGCTAAGTGAAAAGTTTCAATTTGATCAATTTTCATGTTATTTTGTTGCTGTTGAGAAGCAATAAAATAAATTCAAGATGATTTAACAAAAAGCTTCAAGATTAGCCAATCGAAGCAGTTTCAAATCTTCAACTTTCAATGAGTTTAATTAGGAAAAATTTCGAAACTTGAAAACATGAGAGCAGTTCTGTTCAAGAGATTAAAACAAAAAGCTTAGCTTTATTTCAAAAAGTAAAGTGAAGCAATGAAAAACACTTTAAACTTTTTTCTTTCTAAGAAAATATTGAACGAGCAACATTAACAATGTTTGCTTGTTAAAAATAAAGAAAAAAGAAAGTAAAATTGGAAACTTACAATATCAAGATGTTTTATGAAAGCAAGCTCTCAAAAAGAACTCTTTTCAGAAGAATAAAAAGAAACAAAACCCCGAAGCTTGAGATACATGTCAGTTATCTATTGTTGAATGGAAGTTTTTCTTCTCTTCTGACAGCTGCTTCACTTTTCTGTCAACAAAAATTAAGTTCACATACTTTCTCTCCCTAAAACACGTGTCTTCAATGTTATTTCATTTTATTACATATTAATTTTGTTCAATTCACGATAATAAATGAAAAGTTTCATTTCAAGAAGGAAAAATGGAGCAGAAAACTAAAGACAAGATTTTCCTTGTCACGATTTCCTTTTTGTTCGTAAACATCCTGATTCATCGTTAACAATCTTCAAGTTTAAAAATTTTCCTCTTCACACTTACACACCCACGCAGTGTGTGATGTTGTTCTATCGCCTCCTAGGAAATGTTTGGTGTTGTGCTTTAAAATGAATGAAAAAGCTGTATGAATAAAAAGTTTTACAATAAAGACTCCAGGGGAAATTTTGATAAGCTTTTTTTTTGTTGTGAGGAAGAAAAAAGTATCAAGTGCAATGAAAATGAGTCTCAAGTGAGATAACGGGGTTGAAATATCAAAAATCGTCACAAAAAAAAGAAGGTTTTTCTCTCAAGATTTGGAAATTTGTTGAAAAAAGGATTTTTTTCTGTTATCTCTTTTGGCGGATGCGAAAGCTGCTCGTGATTACATTTTAATTATAAAGAACTTTTTTTACTTTGTTTCATTTTCATTGTTCACTCGGGGGAATTTAATTAGAATGGGATCTTCCATCTCGGCAATGGTTAGCTTTGACCTCAATTCTATTGATCGCTGGTGCTGCAAGTGTGGCTGTTCCATTAGCTCTTAGTGTAACGGCAGGTAAGCAAACCAATTGAGCCGTAATTGGAAAACTTTCAGAAAATAATTTTATTTATGTTCTACATAATCTCAGGTTCACCATTTGAGGAGCGATTTCAAGCCGCTTTACGTTTCCTCGAGCAAGTGCCTTTAATCGATGGTCACAATGATCTTCCCTGGAACATTAGGAAATTCATGCACAATCAAATAAATGATTTTAGGTAAAATTCATTCATGCCATTCATCTACACATCATTAACAGATATCTCAAGAAAATTAATTTCCTTCTCATCATTTTTTCCTTGTTGTCTTCTTTTCAATCAACTCTAGATTTGATGATGATTTGAAAACCATTTCACCATGGGCGAACTCATCATGGAGTCATACCGATTTACAAAGACTGAAACGTGGGCGAATAACAGCTCAGGTAAATTGAATTGAAAGAATGTGAGCGACAGTTTAAGTGATTGGATGAGAAATGTTTTTAACAAATTTATTAGTTTATGAGTCGCGAGTTTTCGAGTCAAGAATTTTTTTGAAATAAATATTCACACTCAATCTTAAATCATTAACACTGAACGAATGATGTCGTCCGAGGTTAAAAGGTTAAAAGATTCAGTTCTGATATAAAACAAGCAAAAACCAATTCGTTTGTAGAAATGTTGACTGTGGCTTGAGCAAAAATATTCCCAACCCAAAACATAATAATAACATAATACAAACATAATAAAAACCTTGAGTTAGGAGAACAAAGAAAGATGAGGAGAGAAATTTGTTTCTGGCTATGGTTATATAATGTATATTCTCATGGAATGTAAATAAATTTCAATATCTTCTTTCTTATGGGTTTTGTTTGAGTTTGGCCACCAAACATGAATCCTCGGCAAAATCTCACATTCATGTTACTTACATTCATATTAAATAAACATCGCCAGCATTACACATGATAGCAAGCACACAGCATTTTTATGACACAGTCTGCGATGGAAATAAATTGCATATTGTAAGTAAGGAAGTGAGTAAAGCGAATAAAAAAATGTTAAATCGAGGAAATCGCCGCCAAGCAAGTCACTCAATGTTGAAAATGAAACAAAAAATTGTCCCGGTAACTGCCGTCGCTATCTGCGGTTTGGATAGATTTAAATTTCTCAAAGCATTTTGTCTCATATTTGTTCACTTCATATGAACATGCACAACGATCCGTGAAATTTGCTTCGTCTCCATCTCCAGCTTGAAAAAGGAAAAACTTCAATAAACATTCCAGTATTCATCTCGAAATACAAAAGCTTGTTACAGAAGGAATTCTCATACTTCTAAATATGTTTCGTGCCATCAGCATCATCATCTCATCTCATCTGGTCGGTGTAGTAATAACTTCGTAATCTATCAGAAGCAAACGCCTACACTCTTACGTCTCAACATGCGATGAAATCAAATATGTTAGCGAATCTTTATTACAATCATGAAAATTCATTTTCGTCGTGTTGTGTGTCGCGCGTATTGAAAAGACTTCAACGAACTTCAAGTGCCAAAGGAAGGAAAGAAGTGAAGAAGTTTTATTTATCATTTCTTCATCGTTCCGAATCGGCATAAAATTAAGCCCGAAGTGAAACCTAAGAAGTGTCTTGCAAATCTTCTGAAATGTGAGAGCTTGAAAAGAAATTCGATTTGAGAAGCTTTTTATGATGTAATAATGTTGGGATGAGTGTGGGTGGTGCTTCAAGTTGAAATATGTAAGTTAGTAGGCTGAGAAAACAGAGAAGAAGAGGAAGAAGAGCAGACACATTCAATTTTCCGGGTAAGAAAGCAGGAAAAAGAAAACTTTTATGTTGTCTTCGCAGAACTTCTGACGAGGGGTTTGTGGTCGAAAGAAAAACGAGAATGAATCGTTCCTTAGATGCTCGTTGTCATTGAATGAAATAAAGAATAAGTTCAATAAAAAATGTTTTGCGTTCCATTAGCAATACGAGATGTGTTGGTTGGTGGTGCGTTGTGTGCCAAGTTGCCCACGGCCACAGTCAAACCATAACAACATGTCAAACATATCGATTTGCTTATTAAAGTTTTACTTATTCGACTCGAATGATGTTGGAATTTATCATCATTCAATTCGATTCTCTTCGATTCGTTTATTCGCCTCCATCTTCTGCTTTGGTCTAAATTCAATAATTCAATAAAATTTTCCTTCTTTCATCTCTTATTTGTTGCCTTCGTGAATTTATTTGTTTGCATTTTGGCGACGTTTTCGTTTGTAATCATAAATGATAATACTTAAATAGGAGCGAGAGGAATTGGGAAGCAATGGCAATGGCAATGGCGATGGCGAATAAAAGGAACATTGCGAGATAATAAAAATTTGTTGTGGAATTTTCCCCCGCAAATAAAGAAGAAGGAAAATTATGAGAAAATTCTTCTTTTCATTTCTTCACTCTTCGCAACGCAAAATTGCCTTCAGTCTTACTTGGCTCCAGATCATATTTCTCTCGCTTAAATTGTGTTTATTGAACTCCCATAAAATATATTTGTGCTGTTGTCAATTGTCGTGTGATTAGAGTTGGAAAAGTCAGGAATCGAAAGCAGACACAAAAAGCGTGAACGTAAAACGATGACAAATCGATCCCTCAAATTGAGACGAAGTGAAGAAATTCTGATCCTGGAAATTAAATTCGAATAAACGACGTCAAATTGTCGTCGTCATCATCTTTAAATGTTTTCTTGTTGAATTAATTTATTCATGAAAATTGTTTTCAAGTTTAGAAACAAACAACAAGAAATTGATTTTTACATTTTCGACAATTTGATAATGTATGTGAGTGCGTGGGTGTGTGTGTGTGTGAGTTGTCAATCAATTTGATTGATTAGGAAGTTAATTGTTTATGAAAAATCTTTTCTAATCCTTTCCAGTTCTGGGCTGCTTATGTGCCATGTGAAGCTCAATACAAAGACGCTGTGCAGATAACGCTCGAGCAAATTGACATAATTGAGCGACTTACCGACCGATACTCGCCTCAGATGACAAAATGCTCTTCAGTTTATGGTAATAGTGGAATAAAATTATTTTCTATTCAATTATAAGTCATCGATAGTGTAAAGTCATTCGTATCTGCAGCTGCAGCTGTTGTTGTGAATTTGAAAACATTTCAAAAAACTTAATTAAGTAAAAGTTGTTCTGACAAACTTAAAAGCTTTTCGTTGACATCGTTTTGACTTCCGCCATCCGACAGCTTCTCTGTTTGATGAAGAAACGATTTATGCATCTCATTGCTGTTGCTGGGATTTGAATGCATTTTAGAAATGAAGGGAAGTTGAAAATAATTGTCGGCTCCATTGGAGATAAATAGCTTTGATCAACAACAAATATTTGTTGCATTGGTTAGCAACTGGAATGCAAAACTCAAACAATGAAAGCAATTTTAGAAATGCATGTGAAATTTCCCAGAAGAAAACATGAAAAGCTTTTAATGCTCGTTCATTGAGTTGATGATTCGCTTGTGGAAATTCAAGTGCTGGTTACTCAATTCATGGCGATATTTTCATCTTCATTTTCAGATATCAATCAAGCTCATAAAAATCGACAAATTTGTTCCCTGATTGGTGTTGAGGGCGGACACTCTTTGGGTGGTTCTTTGGGAGTATTGCGGACATTTTATTCGCTTGGCGTTCGTTATATGACGCTCACATCAACATGTCACACTCCTTGGGCTGACTCAAGCAACGCTGATGCACCGAAGTACGATGTAAAACATGGAGGATTAACAGCTTATGGAAAGGTGAGTTTCATGTCGATAGCATTGAAGAACTTTATGAATAATTTATGCAATTTGTGGCTTCAACCTAACATCAACGTCAACAAGACGACGATAGACAAACTTCTCTTTATCACAGAGAATTGCTGTCACATTCTAATCACAATTCGCCTTCTGTTGATGTTCAGGTTGTTAGGATAATTATCTCGAAAGTAACAAAGTCATTGTCTCTCAAGTTTTTGTTAAATGGAAGTCAACCAAATTGGTGAACTTCATTTAACTTCTTCTTTTATGGCAAATTTAATCAACGCAACATTACAAAAGTAAGCATGACAACGGCGCTTGATTCTAAAGCGATGCATGAAACACAAGAAAGTTGGTATGACGATGACGAAGTAAATAATAATTTCAATGTGTCTGCGAAGTTGTTTCTTACATCGACTCAAAGTTAAATGAAGTAAAGAGAAAGTACTCGAACGTGCGTCTAATTCAATTATCTACCTTTGAGAACGTTACAAAATGTGCTTTTACACTTCCTGCTTTGGTAGCGTGACTTGGAATAACAAGCGATTATGATTTAAACGATATTGGAACATCATCACCGTGACTGATGTTGCGATTGAGTGAAGTTTGATGGTTTTTCGATCAAGAAAATCGACAGATCGAATTAACGAGAAAATGATGAGATCATAGTGGGAAATTAAGTTCATTAAAAAGACTTTTCATGTTTCTCCCTTTTTTGACACTTTGCCGTTGGTTGCTCTTGAAGTTCCAACAAAAAAGAAATTTGAAGCAATTCTTGAAAGTTTCACGTCATCATCAAAGCAATGGGGAAAAATTTAGCAACGAAAGCAAAAAGGAAAAGTTGCTTCTTTCCTTCACTTTGTGTTCATAATTATTTCACTTTTTTATGTCCACATTTTTGATGTAAATTGTGAATTGTTCAATAGAGAGTAAAGTGAGGGTAAAATAATAAAACGTGCCCTCGAGACTATCGTTCTTAATTCAAGCAACGACGCATTTTACAATGAAATGAATTGAGGTCGAGATTTTTATTTTTCACCCAATGGAGTTTCAATGTAAAGAATTGAAGGAAAATGAAAATTAAGATAATTGGATGAATGTAAATAGCGTAACGAAGCTTAAAGATTTTAGTTGTAAATGATTTTTAATTCAACTGCTTTGAGTGTTCGACAAAATATTCTCGAATATGGAAGCGGAAATTTCGTTTGATTTCAAACATTGACGACGTTCAAGTTTAAGTTTTACATGTTTTGCCTTCAACACTGAACTCAAATAAAAGCAAGTGTCGTGCTAGTCAATCGGATGTGCATGTTCTTGCTACTCTCAACTGTTATCCAACCAAGATCTTTGATCTTAAACCAAATCAGCTCATCTCACAAAAAGTTTCGCTTCGGGTTCTCCCAGACGAATGCAGAGATTTTCAACGTGAAAGCAGCAACACAAAGTAACATCAATGAATGCAATTTAAAGGCTGAACGAGTTTTCCTGAAGCACACAGAAAATCGATTTACTTCTTTTGCAAGCTTTGCAGAATTTTTCACTTTAAATGTTTGACATTTTATATTTACGACGACACAATTTGTTTCTGTTTCTTCAAACTTCAACTCTCGGATCGACAGGCAAATGTTGGACATTTTCCAATTATTTCACCGATTTTATTAGTTTTGCAGTAACAGCAGAAACTTTTTATCGAAAACAAATAAAAATGCATGAGAAGTTAAATTTTAATGCAAAAATATTCTCCTTGTTGTGAGAATTTATTTGAAACTAAAACAAAAAACACTTCGAAGTTCTTTTCTCACAAAGTCAGCAAGAAAGCATTTCACTTCAGATAGCAAACAAACGAGATAATAGCATTAATTATGCACGGAATGTAATTAAGGAAGACAAAGAAGAAGAACGAATGAAATTATTTCTTCACTTCGATATCGAAAGAAATTTCTTCTGTGGTGGCAGAAAAAAAAGGAAAAAAAATCGTAAATTTCTCTTCTCAAAATCATTTGCAGCTGTAAAAAATTTCCACCCACAACAATGTCGAGAATGAACACAAGGAAATATCCGAATCAAAAGCTCGTTAAGTATCGGAAGTGATTGTCTCCTCAAACAATGATTTGTTAAACTTAATAATGAGACTTCGAAAGGAAGAAGGCGACCGAAAGAAACCTGATGGTATTTGCACAAAAAATGGCTTGTTGTTGATGCTGTCAGATGTCATGTTCTTCTTTTAATAAGGGCAATAGAAGACTATGAGAAAAGGAAGCATCAATGAACATCCCAAAATGCAACAGAAACAAAAGTTTTCCCCTTCTTAAGTTTCTCTTTACTTTTCATGAACTTTGGTCTGTTTTTCTTCTACTCTTTAATTTTCTTGCCATATTTATCTATTTTCCCTATTTTTGTTTGAACAACATTGTACAACAAATAGAACAGATAGGGGAAAGATGTGAAAAAAAGAATTTCGCTCCTGGTAAAGTCATTTTACTTAATTATTTCATTAACGGCTTTGCTTTTTTTCCTGGCTTTAAGATGCCTTATGTTACTCTCAGATAACAGAAGCAACCCCAAAAGATAAACCTCGCGAAAGTTATTATCTACAAGATTTTCCCGCAGCTTGTTTTGTTGCTGAAAGCACACAGTAAAATAAATTCCACATGTTTTACGATGCTTTCAATGTAATAAAAAATCATAAATAAAACATCATCGCTAAGAGGAGAAAAAGTGCGAGATGTTAGCAGAATGTTCATCTTCAGGGTTAATTGAGACTTTTGTTTTTCATTATGTCAGTTAGATTGTGGTGAAGCTTTTCAAGAGATTCATTTCGCATTATTCAAGATATTTATGTATTAACGGAGAACAAAGCAATATCAAACATGAATAAAAGGAAGCATTCACTTCGAATATTTAGGAAAGGCTTTAAGCAGCCTTAAAAATGCTTTCAAATTTGTGGAATTTTCATGAAAATGGTATCAAATGAAATGGCTTACTTATGTTAATACTTTGTAATATTTACGAGTTTGAAGTAATTTTGTTGGATTTTTGATGAAAAGAAGCACATTTAAACAATTGAAATGGTTTTTAATTAAAATTTTCGGAGATTTTCAAATTCATAAGCTTTAAAATCTGAGATAGAAAAATTATTATCGTAACAATTATTATGGAATTATCATTGTCTATAATTTTGTGTTGTTTTCAAGCTTATGCTTCTGATATGTGAAACACTTTTCTCCATATCAACTGTTTTCATATCACAGCTTTTGTTTATAAGAATTTAATCTCAGAGCTTTCATATCTTACAAGAAAAATGAGAGTAAAAGCTCAAACTCTCTCAATAAAATAAAATCGTCGAATTCCGTGAGAGCATATCCAAAGCTCTCTGTTGAACTTTTTATCCTTGTTTTTATCTCTCAAATCAACTCGACTAAATACCTATTTCGTTTAATTTGAAAAACTTTTCGACCATTTTCATCATCTCAATGATGTTCTTAAATTATGCAAAAACTCATTTCATTATTTGCCGAAGCATTAGAAATAATGAATATTAAAGCTAAACTAAATGTTTTCCCCCTTCCGGAAATAAAGTCTTATTTTCTTAACAAGCTATTTTTCTTCTTTATTTAACAAGAATCGTAAAGTGTTTGAAGTAGGAATCTCGCTTTCGGAATGAAATTAAGTATATGTCATTCAAAAGCTTCGCACTTTTCAATGTGTAACTTGAACCTTAGCGTAAATAAATTTCAAAAGTTTATTTTTCTGTTCTCATTCTTTCATTACCATTGTGTCTTCCCAAGCTCGTTTTTAAACGGAAATTTTCGAGTACAGCATGTGCCGAATGAACGTTGATCTTAAATGTTTATTTACAGTAAACGAGAAATAGAAATTGAACAGAGAAAGAGAAAAAAAATATTCTGTTGACATAAAATAAATTCGAAGTCATTTATTAAAATCGTAGGCATGACACATTGATTTTGTCGGATGGATTTCAGCCCAATGAACCACTGCTAACAACTTTNTTTACGTCTTTGTGTTTTACAAACATTTTTGAAAAACAAAATTTTTTCCTAAGAAAATCTACTAAAAGCGCTTATTTTCGCATGTGTTCTACAATTTTTTACAACTTTCAGTGAGTTTAGACAACGTATTCTATATAAGCTTGCTTCACAAGTGTGCTATAATTTTTTGTAACTTGCACTGAAAGTTGATAAAAATTATGGAACACAAGAAAGAATAAGCGCTTTTAGTAAATTTTTCTTGAGAAGTCTTTGAACATGTCTTCAAAACACGCAGACATGACTGGCAGTCATTTTCCAAAAGATGATGTCTGTGGCTGCGTGTTTTGAAGACATGTTCAAAGACGTCTTTGTCTTTGAGTTTTGCAGACATTTTTCGATGTCTGTGCACAACACTGCGTGCTAGTCAATCGGATGTGCATGTTCTTGCTACTCTCAACTGTTATCCAACCAAGATCTTTGATCTTAAACCAAATCAGCTCATCTCACAAAAAGCTTCGCTTCGGGTTCTCCCAGACGGATGCACAGATTTTCAACGTTAAAGCAGCAACACAAAGTAACATCAATGAATGCAATTTAAAGGCTGAACGAGTTTTCCTGAAGCACACAGAAAATCGATTTACTTCTTTTGCAAGCTTTGCAGAATTTTTCACTTTAAATGTTTGACATTTTATATTTACGACGACACAATTTGTTTCTGCTTCTGTTTCTTCAAACTTCAACTCTCGGATCGACAGGCAAATGTTGGACATTTTCCAATTATTTCACCGATTTTATTAGTTTTGCAGTAACAGCAGAAACTTTTTATCGAAAACAAATAAAAATGCATGAGAAGTTAAATTTTAATGCAAAAATATTCTCCTTGTTGTGAGAATTTATTTGAAACTAAAACAAAAAACACTTCGAAGTTCTTTTCTCACAAAGTCAGCAAGAAAGCATTTCACTTCAGATAGCAAACAAACGAGATAATAGCATTAATTATGCACGGAATGTAATTAAGGAAGACAAAGAAGAAGAACGAATGAAATTATTTCTTCACTTCGATATCGAAAGAAATTTCTTCTGTGGTGGCAGAAAAAAAAGGAAAAAAAATCGTAAATTTCTCTTCTCAAAATCATTTGCAGCTGTACAAAATTTCCACCCACAACAATGTCGAGAATGAACACAAGGAAATATCCGAATCAAAAGCTCGTTAAGTATCGGAAGTGATTGTCTCCTCAAACAATGATTTGTTAAACTTAATAATGAGACTTTGAGAGGAAGAAGACGACCGAAAGAAACCTGATGCTACATCTACAAAAATTCCTTGTTGTTGATGCTGTCAGATGTCATGTTCGTCTTTTAATAAGGACAGTTGAAGCATTCAGAGCGAAAAACGCCATTAAAGTTAGACACCCAAATAAATATGGCAATAACACTAAACGAACTTGGTTTTTAAACTCATTAAATTTACTTCTCATTCTGAACATTAATTTCACTTTACGAGTCTGATTAAATTTTTAAAAATTCTTAAGAAGATAAATTCTAAACATATCTTTGATGTGAAATGAAAACAAGAAGAAGTTAAAATACCAACAAGAAACTTTTCGAAAATATGTTCCAAGTTAATGAGTTTCGTATTTATTATTGTTCTTTACTTCACAAATATCTTAACTTTGGCATTAAACATTCCGGAATTTACTTCAAAGATGATACTAATCCCGTCTAAAAGCATAACAAAAATTCGAAATGAAGGTGGAAATAAATGTCAGATGCTTTATGATGATGCTGGTGTAATAAAGAAGTATGAATGGATGCAAATGTAATATCATCGCAAACAAGCCGACGAGACAATAACACCCATCATTGTTCCGGGTTAATTATAATGCTTTTTTCTTGCGACACGTTCACTTAAAACATTCATCCGACATTAAGTGAACAAAGAGATAAAAGAAATATTCAAAATATAACATAAAAAAAGTTATTTTTACAAGCATTTTTCTCCCTTTTGACGAACACTCGAGAATTGCAAAACGAATTATGATTCCATGTAAGCTCGAATGGTTTTCATAAAAGCGGCGTAAAAGCTTCTGTGCATGATTTGTGTGAAATAAATCGCCGCATTAAAATACTTGCAAAACGACACTTCTAGAGTTGAGTTTACATCAACTTAAAGCTCCCTGAAGCGATTCATACCAAGTTGGATTAAATTTTTATTTATTGGATAAACATTTTTCATCTTTTTCTTTGCTTCCATTTCGCTTTGTGAGTTTGCGAATTCTTTTTTTTTATTTTCATTCACGTCAAAGTCTTTGTGGCGACAAAGGAATGAGGGAGAAAAAATCCCTAAACATATTTATTTTTATTTTCGTTTCTATCTTCTTTACACACAACATTCCCAAATGCTTTAATGTGGCACGATTTATGCACCAAAATAAGAACTTGAGTAAGCAAATTTTTTTATGTTTTTGGCGCTAGAAAGATAAATGAAAAAATGCATCGACAATATTTTAAAAGTTCTTGTTCTGCTTCCGACGTGTCATGATTCATCAACATTTGTAATATTATCTCTCTCACTGGAATTGCGCAACATTTCATTGGCTTTAAATAAAACTTTAACGTTAGCATTTATTCACCCTTCAAAATATCCGAAACAACCAAACATCAAAATCCGCTTTTCCTCTTCCTTTATTTATAACTTTGACAAACTTTTTCTATGAATTTTAAATTTTTACCGAGTAAATGGCGGAAATACCAAAAAACTTTACATGACTTTTGAGTAAAAATTTTAAAAGTTTGGGATAATTCTTGACTTCTTCAATTTATAATAAGGTAAAGAGGCTTAATCCATATTTAAACCTAAATATTTAATGGGTTCAAGTTTCAATAAATTCCTCCCCCATCTGTTGAAGAAAAAGTGGAGAATTTGTTAGAGTTTCTGATTGTCAGTCAATTAAATAATTTCCAAAAGTTCTTCGACATCAGCTGAGTTGAGAAAAATAGAAAAATTCTGTGATAATTAGGCATGGTGGTTTGCTGATGAAATCCAAAGCTTTAGCTTGTTATTTGTGACATCTGAAGCTCAAATGAAAGATGAAAGTGTGAGTCAGCATAGCATCGTCATTTAGATCTCCACTCTTCTTTTCGTCTCATCTTCGCCCTCAATAAATTAATGTAATTTATTATTCGTAACTTCAACATTAAAGGAAATCAGAAGAAAGGCGAACAAAATCTCATTAGCCTCGGTTGGCACCGCATCTTAACTCTTGTTACTTAAACATAACGAGAGACGTTCCAAAAAGGCACAAATGGACATCAAAAAAATCGCAAAAGGAAATTTTCCTCAACACTTCATCGTATAACTTTCTTTTTTGTTTTTCTTTCTCATCAATTCCAATCTTTTCTTGTTTTAATTTATCTAATTACATTTTCTTTTTCCCTTTCGTTGAACGATAATTCTCGTTGTATCCTTGCCATTTTCATTTTTTCGCTGACTAAAAGCATTGAGAGTTCATTGTTTAAGAGTATTCGAGTATAATTATCATCACAAGTAAAATCATCAATCCACGGAACTAAACAAGAAGTGCTTTATGTAATTAAAATTGAAGATCAGAGTTGAAGACAACGAGACTTCGCCTGGTTAATTTTCGAGCTTTTAGCGTAAAGTCATGAATGAAGAGAAAGTAATAAGAACAACTTTGAAATTGTGATGAAGTTTACCTTTTCATTCAACGTTAATGTGCCTTTTACATTTACTTAATTATGATACAATAAGAGACGATGAAAGACGAGGCTCTTTTGTCTTAAACATCACCTCCATCTTTTGTTGAGCGACGATGCCGAACGAATGCTTTTATATCACCGAAAGCGTCTTTTATCATATTATAAACGATAAAATCTATCAGACACGCTTGACTAAATTCAACTCTTTATCATTCAGCTCACTTCAATGACGCCTTTTATTTTCAATTTGGGAAGTCTTATTTGACAAAGTACGGTACACCGGAACGAGAAATGTGAGAAAAAGATTTTCCCTCGTTTTTTTTCCCTTCATTTTGAAATTGTTTGTGATGTACAACACACAATGGAAAAAATCTCAAAAAGAAAGCGAAAGAAATTTATAAACTCTTTACACTCCTTAGCATTTCTTTGACAGATGATATGAGAAACGATGCAAAAAGAAGGAAACTCATTTCGAAACACATAAAAAACACAAAGAAATGCGAGGAAAATGAAAGAAAAAGTTTTAAGAAAAATTTTATGCCTCCAAGCATGTTCTGATAATTGTCGTAAACATGAAAGAAGAACAAAATCAAGCTTTTTGCTTCACTATATTTAACTAAGAACAGCAAGTGAGAAAATGAGAAGAAAAAGAAGCGGAAGAAAACTTTTTATCGTCGTGATATGAAGACGAAAATATTCATGTCTTAAAATATAAAACAAGGAACGCAAATTTTCTTATATGATCTCTGAATTAAATAAAATAAAATCAAATGAAAGCAAAAAAGTTTGATTTCAATTTATTTTTAAGCTTCACATTCGCTTGAAATTATTTTTAAATTTAATAAAAAATGTTGGGAGAAATTTTACTTGCATTTTTTTATTGTTGAGAGTAAAGAAAGTCAGAAGATAATTAAAGATATCATGTTAACAAATCTTAATGTCATCCGAATACTTTCAAATGAAAATCTTCGTGCTTGTTATTTGATAACGAGCATTGCAAAATAGAAGCGCTAGTGTCAACTCTTTAAAAATCTAATTTAATTGCCGCCTGTCTCAAGTTTGATAGCTGCAAAGCAGAACTCTAATTATCACTGGTAAAATACACAGCAAAGCGATGAAGGGAAGAAAAACGAAGGAGAAAAGTTTCACTAACAAGCAGCACGAAATGAAATTGTCGCACGGCGTTAATGGTATAAATTAAATTGAACGTAAATTTACGAGTAGCGAAATTTCATTTAAGTACGCTTGAAGGAGAAAAAAGTTCTATTTATGTGTGAAAAAAATGAAATTATTTCGCCCCCGCAAATGTTAAAATGGAAATCATGAAAATCAGATTGTAAAAGTTCGGTCCATGATACTCTCAGATGTCGGATTTCCACTCACTTCATTTTAAATGATAAACAAAAAAAAGTTTTCCAATTACCATTTTTTTCCGTTTTTCACGTTTCCCTCAGCCTCCCACATACGCCAGACAAGTTGGTGAATGAGGATAAAATTACAACATCTTTTTTCTTCCTCTCCCATTTCAACTCCGTGTGAAATCACGATTTGTTGATGTTGGAATTTTTTTTGCCACCCATCTCAATAGCGAATTTCTTGATGAATAAAAATAACGAAATCAGAAAACCGAAAATCTGGTTTCCATAATGTTAACAACAACAATAAAAATAAAATAAACAAAACAAGAAGTGAGAGAGAGAGAGAGATTGTATCGAGATAACTTATTTGATTTAAGGATCAAATTGCAACAAATTTAAACTTTTATTCTATTTCTTTTTTCTTTTTTTTCATTCTTGCCGTCACTTCAAATTCACGTCACCATTGCTTGAAAAACGTCTTTTGCTATGACTTGCTTTCGCCTCCATTACCATCAGATTATCGTACGTGAAATGAATCGTTTGGGTATGGCAGTGGATTTATCAAAAGCATCTGTAAAGACAATGCGAGACGTGTTGGCAATTACTGAAGCCCCGATAATATTCTCGCATTCTTCCGCATTCGGATTGTGCAATTCAAGTCGGAATGTTCACGATGAGATATTGAAACTCGTTACCAAAAATGGCGGTCTAGTGATGGTGAACTTTTACAATAAATTTCTTAGTTGCAACGAGAATGCAACCGTTCATGATGCAGTTGGTGAGTACAAGTAGATAACCACAAGTTAGATTTTAATTACACATTAATGGCTTCTGCTCGTTCATATGCTTTGGTAAGAACTTGTTCATGTATAACAAGTTTGTTTGTTATAATTATTAGTGAAATGAACACATCAAAAGTTGCTTAAATCATCACTCACATGCAAATTAATTAATTTATTACCAGTAAACTTCACTTCCTGTTTTTTAATGAATATTTAATACAGATTCGTTCATGAACAATGTTAAAAGCTTTCACTAGAACGTTAATGATCCAAAAAAAACTGACTAGGTAGTTCGATAACAAATTGCATCAACCACTCGATGATTGTTCAGAGAACGAAAAATCACTCAAGCAGAAAATTGCATTATGAAAATTGTTTTATAATGGCCGATATAAAATGTTATTTATACGCTCAACCATTTTCTGAATTCGCCGCAGCTGCTCTTCATTTCACTTTTTAGACAGCGATTTTTTAAATTCATTCATGATTCAATAAACTTTTCAACGGAACACATTAAACTGTTCGTATGATTATCGTTCTTGAACATTAAAAACGAGAAAAAAGAGCGACAAAAAGATGAATTAAATTAATTGAAATCCTACATTTGCATTTATGGATCAGCGGAATTAAAAGTTTTCCTTTTAATGGATATTGCTGGATGTGCCCACAAATATTTTCCAACATTTTTTAATTGAGTTTTACTTTTATTATTTCAGTGTTGTTGAGTGTGTGAAAATTCTTTTTGTTTTTTTGATTTTCGATTAAACTTGCTAATCAATTTGTGGGTGAATTTTCCATTAAAGTTTTTCCTGTCTCAACATAAATTTCTTCCTTCCCAAAACTTTTTTTTTCATACAATGTTTGAGTGGATTCACAAGGGAAATTAACTGAAATTCGTTTTAATGAACAAAAATGATGAAAGTTTTTGGTTTTTAAAGTTGAAGTTTCCGAGAAGTTTCTCTTTAAACCAATATTTTTTTTCTCCTTCTGCTTAATGGAGGTGAATGGAGAATGCCTTTGCAAAATCTGTATCCGAAATAACTCAATTGAATTGTTCAAATAACAAACCATAAAGAATGCTACAAAGTTGTGTCTCTGACCATACAAGTAACTTTTTTTTCATTCTGGGAAGGACAACTTTATTCACTCAAAGTTATTAACGAAAAGATTTATGGAAGTGAAAAAAGGAAGTGAATAAAATAATTTGAAAAAAGGAAAACTTTACGAAAACAATCTCTGCAAATGAAGATTTAAAGAAGCATTGAGAAATCAGTGTTTGAGATTGTGAAACCAACTTAAATGGTTTGTTTATAGATATTTTGAATTTATTGCTTCCTGTTTTTTACTCAAAGCTATCAAAAGCGTTTGGCATTCCACGAAATTACAATCATGCTAATAAAATGCTGAAATAAATTTAACACCTCTGCATTCAAGCACGAAATACTAAAGATAAACCTCATAAAACATTTTTTTTTCTCCTTTTTTCCTGTAAATAAAATCATGCAATTTAAAATTAAATGGCCTTATTGAAAAGAGATTTTACCGTAAATTTATGTCTGGTATTGTTATAATTTCTTTATAGCTCATATAAATTATATCAAAAGCACGGCCGGCATCGATCATGTTGGACTTGGAGCCGGCTTCGATGGAATCAATTTGTAAGTGAAATATAAATACAATGAGTAAAGTCAACCCATGCCATCACTTACTTAATTTCCCAAGAGATTAATTAATCGCTTCTGCTGAACATTTCCCTCTCTCTCTTTTTTTCCTTTTTTCATTGGGAAATTGTGTGTTGACTTTCATATTATTATTATAATAATGGCTTCACAAGCGTGTTCACATTAAAATTTATTACAACATTTTTTGTCAACCGACAGTGTGCCAACACAGCTAAAATATATTCGGTAAACGAGCGCTTATTCTTTCCTTCTTTTCCTGTTATTTTTCTCTTTCATCATTCTCATAGCACACCGAAAGGTATCGACGATGTTAGTGCTTATCCTTATTTGTTTGCTGAACTGATGGGACACGGTTGGACAGCCGAAGAACTAACAAAGCTAGCGGGTGGAAATTTACTGCGTGTTCTTAGCGAGGTGAGAATTATCATTAAACGTAAAAGCTCGATGGTAACACAAGATGTCGAGTGTTTCATTTCAAGCCAATGCTTTTGTGATATTATAAACCACTCTCTTATCTAACCACTTTCGTTACTTCACATCCTTTCTGTTTAACGAATTTCTTGTCATTGTTTTCTCACATTCTTTGTAAATTATGGTTTTTTCGTTCTTACAGATCGAACGTGTCCGAGATATGAAGCGGATGAACAATGAGAAGCCATTTGAGGACATTCCAAACTTTCGACTGCCACTTCAAACATCGGACGAACAATTGTATAATTGTAGCAATACCGTGTAAATGTGTAACGATGTTGAATCTGATTTTATTCTCACTTTTCAACCAACTCACCATCGAGCTGTGCATGAAACGAGATTGTCCCAAACGAGACTAGCTACAGAATATAAAAAAAGAAAAGAAATAATAGAAAGCTTTTCGGGCAATATAAACGTTTCACTTCTTTGTGTTTAAGGACTTAATAGGAAAAGTGCTTGAGAGATAATAAAATTTTATTAGTGAATAGCTATTATCAAATTTTCTGTTTTTCTAGTCACACTCAAGCTTTTAAGTTTCTTTCTATTCATTGATAACGATGAGAAATTTATGTCAAGAGCATTTAAGAAGAGAAGAAAAATTTTTATTCATCAACTTAAACGCGTAAAAATAATTTCTTATGACGATGATAAAATGATTATGATAATATGACAGCAGAGCAAAGTAAAGTTAAAAAGAGAGCGAACTGCCTTATTATTTGAATAGTAGATGATGCTTTGAATGTGCGGGATTGGCGATGAAGCGATAAGCCAACGGAAAAGGAGCTTTTCCTACACCCACACAATTTCTAACTTTTTTTTCCTCTCTGATACTTTCAACTTTTCCAGTAAGTAAGCGGGATTAAGCCTAACGCGAAATGTTTCATCCATTGTAATAAAAATTCTACAACGTTTTTCTTTCTTCTTCATTTCCATTTTAACATCAAACTGTTTCCAATGATGTAGCAAAAGTTTATTTTTACAATGAACAAGAAAAAAACATAGAAAAAGGGAGCAAAGAAATGAAGCCCAGAACTTTACACTCTTCTCGTCTATTCTTGCTTGACATCACTTCCCACTTTTTACTTCCTTTCTTCATCTCAACTTACAGTTATGATGAGAAAAGTTCATGAGTTATAGATCGAGTCAGTAAGAAAGGGAAAGGAAGAAAAAAAGAAGAAAACTAAACCATTGGGGTCCTATTATGATAACATGATATTTCAATTTTAATACAATAAAATACAGCATATAACTTCAAGTTGACAACCGGCAGCAACAGCAGCCTTTCATTGTTAAAATATGAATTTTTTTTTGTACTTCGATTCGTTTCACTACCCCAGCCACGAGACCTTTTGTCCCATTTGAAGAAAGGGATCGAAATTCAAATTTTCGTTACATTTGATTATAATGAGATATGAAACAATTTTTTTTCCTTCTTTTGACCCATTTCATATCCACTCAAACTGTGTGAATGTCGGTGGTTGACTAGATTAATATTATCGATTTAAAGCGATCATCAAAGTAAAAGTTCAGAGAACTCTTCAAAGATCCTTGATATTTATCGATGAAAGAATAAAAACTGACAGAAAGCTTTCTTCATTCAATTTCATCACGAAACAAATCTCAATCATTTAAATAAATCGCATAAATCTGGCCGGCTTAACAGACATTCACACATTTGAATGTTTAACAATATCCATGGGATTAATTTACTTCCTCAGTCAATCTTCTCCATTCAGTGAAATGTCCACAAAAAATGAAGCCGACAAAGTTAGGGAACCGTAAAGCTTCAAAAATATTTCTCCATCATGTTAAAGGGAAAAAATTAGTTTATGTTATGATGATATTTTATCATGAAAATTGCTATACATTAGAATAGAAAAGGATTTTTCTATTTAAATTTTGTTGATAGAAAAATATTATTTTTCGGCCTTTGATGCTTTTTTCTATTCCTTTCTTGTACACATTTGATAATTCTATTTTTGGGTTTCTAACATTTTTATGATGTTATTGTTGACCTACACGAGTTATTATTTAATTTTGCATAAATATTTTCGAAAAATTATAAAGCTATACATGTGTATCATGTTTTATTTGTTTGAAAACGATGGGGGTGAATTAAGTAAACTTGTTGTGGAAACAATTCAGATTCTCATCAACCTTGTTCTATTTAAAATTCAAACAACTAAACTAATCTGAAAGATATTTTAAAAATATTGTTTACAATAAACTTAAATTTTTTAATGTCTGATATTTGTGAATGCAATGCAAGTGCATTTTGTTCAGTCAATTTTATTGTTCAATTCTGATGCATCATCATGAAAAAATAGAGAACGAAAAATAGAAAATGAAAACTAGCAGGGAAAATTTTGATCAAACAATTTACATACAACAAGCGGAATAATTGGTGAGGAAAACTTTTTCACTTCTCTACAAAGAGAATTTTAAAGTTTAAAAGTTTTTTTATCAACTTAACTAACATGCTAATAAAACGTTTTTAGAATCGTTTATAAAGACATCATCTTTATTACTTTTCACCCATCTTTACACCACCCACTAAAACTAAAATAGCTCAAGTAAAAACCCCAAAAACGAGAGAAGAAAAACTATTTCCGTAATCTCGCACAAAACTAGAAGTAAAGTGTAATAAAAAATTTTTTAAAGGGAACTTTCAACCCTCTTTCCATTACCGCCACAGAATTTATAGCGCAAAGAAATTTATTTTGTTGAGAGAAGGCATAGAATAGTCAAATAGAAAGAGTATATGAGCGGAATAATATGTGAAACTTAATTCATGGTAAGTTGCAAGTTTAACATGATATAAAAGAGCAGCAGCTTCTACCTTTTGATGAAGCTCAAACATTCGAGAAATGTTTACTAAAAAAGGTTGAATACGAAATGATTAGTTAATTAAAACATTGTAGAATGAGATGACAAAACAAGCGAAAAGAGGTTGGAGTTGAGTGAAGAAGAGAAAAACAGTTTTGAATAAATATGTGAAACATGCAAAGTTGTTGCTCTTCACTAACAACACGATTAATTAAGCATAGATGAAAGTTAAATCAACTTCTGTGGACCAAACAATGTTGTTTAAGAACAACAAAGGCGGAAAATTGGTTTATAATTAAATCAACTTACAGATGCTCATTTGCAATGTTCTACGATCAAGAATCAAATATACGATTGGTAATTGAAGTTTCCAACATATCATTTGATTTAATAAATAATTAAGGAAACAATATTTACTTAGGCAGATTTAAATGGAAATTATGTGATCAATTTTGTTAATTTATGCATGTAATCACAATCATCATCATTGTTAAACCAAAGCAAAGCTCTGTTTTTTCTTTCTCATTTTCTTGTTCCTTTTCTGAAAAGGAAGATCGAGATTTTTATGTTTGTTACATGTTGATGACGAATTAATTTCATCTTTAATTCTACCAATAAAGACAAGCTATAAAAACAATGATTAAATTCATGTGTTTTATATTTTCCATCTCGTCATTTTATGTGCACAGCTTTTAACAGCGATAAATTCTTTTCTACAACGTTTCTTCTATGATTGTAGCGACAGAGGAGAGCTTTTTTTTAAAGTCCAGAAGAAAGCTTTGAAAGCTGATTATCCGTTACTATGTAAATGTTTCTAAGGATGTTGCTTTTATGATTTTAAATTGGATTTTCTCATCAACAATAACTTAACTTGAATCGAAATTGTGTGATATGTAATGATATGCAGACAAGTTATTGAAAATTGTTGTATGAGTAGGTTGGATATTTTAATCAAATAACAACTATTTTCCAATGGTATGATGGCAACAAAGAAAAATTTCGTTAAAAAGCATTGCAGAAATAAGCAAAAGCACTCCTGCGCCATCTGACGTAAATGTTTGAACTGGTTCAAACAAAACCGTTGCTGATGTTTCAATCAATAATGTTTCAATGTTTTTCCGTCCGGGGTCAAACCGACTTGTTTTCAGTGATCGTTTCCAGAAGTTTCAAGAAGTAAACAAAACAATCGGCAAACTGAAAAAAAAAAAATATTTTTCTTAATAAGCGTTAATATACCAATAAATTAAAAAATAAACATTATCAACATTAAGTGAAGATAGTGAAGGAAATGAAATTTGTGAAATAGTGAAATGGTGAATGTTCTAAAGGGCGTTTTAGTTGAATGGTGAGATTTTCGATAATTTACGAAACATTTTGTGTCCTGTTATGAAAGCATAACAAACTATGCTGGGCGAAACATGTTAAAAACGAACGTTTTGTTTAATATCACTATCGTGTTTTATTCTGTAATGCTTGAAGCACATAACTTGTTTAAATCTAAAATTCATTTATAGTTTTGATTATAAAGCGAGCGAACACTTACTCATAAAACTGATGTAATTTTAAAACTTGTCTTCGTATCATACTTCAATTTCATGGCTCTATCTCGATTCATTGACTCAATTCGCTTGATCAAATCCAATAAATCCTTTTATTTCGCTTTCATCGGCACAATGCCATTGGCAAGCAAGTCACGTTTTAATTTATCTGAATCATTTTGTGCTTCCTGTAAGTTGAAATCGAGTCCGATGCTTTGGGATTGATGTAAGAATGAAAAAGAAGAAACGAATGAAGCATCACATTCGAGAGTCATTATTTACACGGATGCGTACCTGCTCGCTTTTCAGTGTCGCTTCTGAAGTGTCCAATTTATCATTCGTTTCGATTCTCAACTGCTTACCTCTTGCGTGTTGATAAAAAAAGGTTTTAAGAAAAACGCACAGATCCAAATCTCCCCCTTATCAATGTCGCCTACAAGTGTCAGCAAAATCTCCTTAGAAATGCTTAGACATTCATTTTTATACTGTTTAGTTATTAAAAACATTTATTTAAGTAGAAGATTAAATGTTTGAATTCATTGGGAGCGTCTATGCGGTATTTTTACTTTTTGAATGACGACACGTAATCAGATTGCGAAGCGGGAAAGCTCCTTAAAGAGTTTTCTCAACAAATACCTTCAATCTTTCATCTGTAACAATTCTGAACTTCCTAAAGTACAAAAGAGAATTTTAAAACATTATCCATAGCAACTTTACTTCATTCTTGACGCTTCACTGCGAGTTATCATCCTGCCGCACAATTTCTAAGAAATTTGTTCGTTAATATTTACAAAGAATTTTCCATCTTTTTGATTTTTGAATAAATTTTCAGAAAAGTATACATTTTTAAAGATACTTCCATGATATCCTTCATTCAAATTATGTCACAAGAAATTTTCATTTAAATTTGAAATCTCTGCTCAGAACACTTACATAAGCTCATTAAAATACTTTTACTGAGATAAAATATTCAGAAAAAACCACGGTGATTACATTTTTTTTCTTTCATTGTTTTTTTCCAACAGCGATCCTGCTATGAAACAATTCCTTCTTCATTTGGATGAAAAATTAATTCTAGGACGTAAATTCATTCTTCAAGATTTGGATGAAAAGCATTTGTTCATTGCTTCGGACATTGTTGAGACATTACAGCAAAAGATTGACGATTTAATGGATAAAATTAGCTTTCCATTACATGAAAAAGATAACTAAGTAAGCAAACAGACGTTCAAGTGCTTTAGTAGCTAAAAAAAGAAGGAAAGTAAAGTTAAAGGGGGTGGAAGAAAGTGAAGTGAAAAGTGGAAGAAGGCAAGAAATAAATAAAAAAAAACATTGTAAAAACACTTTGCCATTAATCTAAAAGTGGAAAAACAGAAGAGTAATAAATTTCACTTAATTAATCATTGTAAGAAACAAGAACGAACGATGGCAACACGTGAATCAGGAAGAATAAAAGACGCTGATAAGAAGCGTGTTCTTGATGAGGTGACGAGAAAAAGGCGTGCTAAAAAGGCACTTGAAGCTCTTGAACAAGACAACTACCATGATGATCCACACGCAGATTTGGTGATGTCAAAAAAAATTCCAAAATTCAACAATAATCTTGATTCACCTCGTAACACAAGAAAGGGAAGAAAGTCACGCGGTGCAGATTACTATCGTGTAAAATATCGCAAAACATTTACGCAACTGCTGGATGAAGACCGACAAATGAATCCCGATGGACCGAATTATGCCACCGCTCAAGCTCCACCCACGCAATTTCCCGAAAGACATTTTTGCGCTGTTTGTGGTTTTCCATCTAATTACACCTGTACATCGTGCGGTACGAGATTCTGTTGCCTTAGATGTCTTTCAACCCACCAAGATACTCGCTGTCTCAAGTTTGTCAACTAAATGGAGCATAAAGCCAAGGGCCATCAACAGGACATGAAGATGATATCACTGATGGCTTGAAACAATCTCTTATTACATTTTTCTTCATTAATTCTGCTTTCATCCTTCTGCTAATTAAAAATAAAATATTTTTAAGAAAACAAGCTTAAGATAACTTTTTCTTTGTCTCTTTAATTCTCATTTGATCCTTCTAACTCAATTTAACATTGAATTTTCACAGTAAATTTGATGGTAAATATGAATACAGTGAAATCTCTCAGGAGTATTTAAGAAAAAAATTTAACAACAAAATTTGAACTTTTAAAGCCCTAATTTCCTTTCATAATTTACTTTTCTTTGAATTCATCATGAACAATCTCCAAAAATAAATTGCCTTAATCCATCGTGACTTATTCTTCAGATATCACCCACTCGCATAAAGCAATGGTTTTATTTATCATTGCGTCTTTTCTTTTTTGAGATTTTTTCAAAGGAGATACTGGAATAATTAATTACATCGCGCCCATCTAATTGCCACATGGTCGTAATTATTCAAGCTAATTATAAGACAAGAGGCTGCGTCCATAAATTATTTACGCTTCAGAACTTAACTTTACCTTTTTTTTCTTCTCTGCTTAGAGTTTTTATTCCCTTCGTTTGGATGAAAATGAAAATGGCACATAAAAAAAGTTCCACAAACTTATCCAACCGAAGCGAATAAAGCGTTTTCCTCACCGATTTTCTTTTTTTTTATTTTCGGTTTTTCTTCGTTACCAACGAATGTGTCGTTCCTTTGCCTAAAGCTGTACAACGACGAGATGAAAACATAAAATTTGAATTTAAAAGCCCGCTTGTTTGCAAAATAATTTCGTTTTTATTCCTTCCTTTCCTTTTTTACTTTATTTTTATTTCACTGACTGTTGCCGTCGCTTGAGGACTGCTTTTTGAATTTTGTATAATTTTATTTATCACAAAGCTTTAAAGAATTTAAAATCACACGAAATTGTCGTACGCATCCCTTCCAATCTCTTTTCGTTAGAAATCTTTATCAACTGAAAAAAAAACACACAGCAAAGACTTTTTGCCGAGAAGATAATGTGGAATAAAAATTATAAATCCTTCGTAATGGATGAGTCAAGGAATAATGTCACGTGGTGATAAAATGATTTAAAAATTGGACATAAAACATTGTCGAGTATATTTAATATTTAATGAAGATGCTCCCTTCAAGGAAGGGCGACAGTTATGAGCGCTTTATTGTCATGAACATGAACTCTGATGCCATTAGCTTGTCAACTGACAACGATGGTGGTGAACGACATTAACAAAAAGAAAAAGGAAAAAAGGAAACGACATAAATCCACATTTCGATATAAACTTTCATACAATGATTCTGTTTTTCACATGCTAATCTCTTTGTGACAGATCAGGAAGGCATATTCGAAGTGGGAGGGATTTAGAATTTGGCAGCAGATTAACGAAGCACATGGGATGCTTTAACAATAATGTACATAATTGCTTCTCACATCAATGCCTACAACTCAAGTTGCGCCTTCTGGCATCAAACATCGTGTTGGATTCTTAAGCACTTCTTGCCATCTAAACGATTACAGGCTTACGGCATAAATGTTATTGTTAAAGCCCAATTTACTTTCCATTTTCGCATCTTATTTTTTTGCTTTTCTCATTTCTTGTTCCCCTCTGCACTTTCCTTTGTAATTTTCTTATCATTCCTACACGGTTCACTTCCTTGTCTCAAGTGAGAGTTTTTCACCCTGAAAAAAAGAAGGAAAATCGAAGTAAATGTTTCGTCATGCATGTGCTTAAATTCCCATATAACATGACACGACGATGCGTGTGAGAAACTGTGTGTAAGTAAATTTCCCAAAAGCTTCTTTATTTATTTATTTTTTAAATAAATATATTAACATGTTAAAAGTTTTCTGATGCCAAAGAATCTTTCTTCATGCATATTAAGTCTACTTTGTATCCCAAACTTTTTACTTTGCTTCTTCTACCACTAAGAGTGAATAACGATTCCATATTTTATGTTGTTATCCGTAAAAGTAACCTTTAGGGACGATATATGTTTAAAGTGAGGCTGGCTATAAGAGTTTTAACAATGTTTTCTCCCTTATAAACACAACTGCTTGTAATCAAAACCAAAACTTTTTTTCCTTTGTTTCTTGAGGGAAAAACAGTAACAGACAGAAGTTTTTTTTTGCTCTCCTGCAATGACCCCAGGTTTTGTTATGAAAAGTTGAGCATTTGTTTTTCAGCCAATTTTCAAAGTTGAAAGTTCAAGAGATTAATCTTCGGAAACTTTTCTCGACACGAAAGCGGTTCACACGAAATTCAGGATGAAACATTAACGTTATCTTATATTTAGCCATCGTTTTCAAACATCTGCTTCGCTCCTTAAGGGAACAAATTTTGTCTTTAAATCGTTTGAGTGATTTTTTATAATCTGAAAATGTTTACATTGATCGCTCGAAAAAGCTATCTTTGAGTAGATAATTTCATTTTTATAGAATGTCTTAGAACGACCATCATATATGTAAGATTGATCTTTTTTTTCTAGGAAACTTTCCTTTAAAAGGAAATTTTTTTTCTTCTTCTTCTTTTTGTTTGCTTCAGTTGACAGCAACAATTGATGGAGGCAGATAAGGTAATTAATTTGGGTAGATGAAATTTTCTTCTTTGAGCCGGAACTAAAAGTTTAAAGGCGAACATCTGACCTAGTTGTGAAGAAATGTAAGATTCGAAATTGTTTGAAATTTGATGATTAAACGTGGTAGATTGAAACCTTCGATTTTTTATTTATCCAATGTTCAATCATCTTTTGAAATTTGATCAAAGCCTGAGCTGAAGGAAAGTTAAAATACCAGAAACTCATTTTTCAAATATTTTTTTTCTTTTCATCCGTCGTAGTTTGAAACCAGAAAATGCTTTTGAAAATTTGCCAACAAAAATCTTAACCCGCCATGATGTTAAGGAAAACCGCTTTTTTCTCTCGTTAAGCAATTTATTTCTATACTCCCAATCCCAACACACAACATGACGCAATAAATTGCTTTTCAACTCAAAAATTACACAGCAACATAACATAACTTGTTGAATCTTACAATACAACAATGAACGACAAACTACGGGGGGAAAATGAATTTGAATGGATTCTTCCTTATACATATTTATTCTAGAATGATTGTTAGAGAAATGAAAAGCACAGCACAGCGCATTGTCTTCTGCTTTTAATGTAACCAAAAACCAAGGAATCATGTCGCAATGTAAAATGAGAACGGAAGACAAAACTTCCTTCACGTACATTTCCTTTCGTATTTTTCCCCTCCCAATGCTTACATTACAGCTTTGAAGGAAGCATAATAAAGCAGAGGGACATTAATAGACTTTCTTGAAAGCTCCAACACTAAATTACGACCATATACTTGTTGAATTTATTTGCCTTCTGTAGTCATCTTCTTGTGTCGATTTTTCCTAATGCTTTACAATATTTCTCTTGCGTCTCCCTTTTTTCCTTCACTTTAACACTTCAGTAGAGACGAGACGAGATGAAAATACTTCGAGCATTTATTTTATTGGTAATCGAGATATAATTTATAGGATCTCGCTTGAATTTCTTCCTCGGAATATTCTTTTTCTCTATTTTTTTTTTGTATCGCAATCTGATGTGATAAAGTGGAAGGAGAAAATTACTTTACTTGACTTCGAAGTTATTTCTATCGCTACTTGTTATGTTAAATAAATAAATGTCTGTCTAACTCTCTGTGGGATTGTTGGAAGGAATTTCTATTCTGAAAACTTTTCTTTTCTTGTTTGAAATCCTGAGCTTTATGATTTTAACTTTTTCATTTTGTAAATTACGCTCGCTTTGATTTCATTTTATTAACTTTTTGTTAAACTTTTACAAAAAAATAAAATGTCATGAAGATTATGGCCATAAATAAATATTTATTTTAGATTTGTTGCTCCATGACACCATGTTATGGACAGTGGGTGGAACTAAAAATAACAAACGTCAATGACAAACCAGCATGCAATCTAAAAGCTCGAAGCTTTTTTAAATTAAATGTGAAAGTTTTAGATTCCCCACCCAGAAACAGAAGGAAACATTCAATTAATTCATTTTCATTATTAAACAGTTCAGGTTGAGTATTTTCATTCCCAAGAGATAGTTTACGTTTATATTTGTTGATTAATTGAGAATTATCTAAAACAATTCTGCAATGAAGTTTAGTTTGAGTAATGAAAATGAAGCTCAAGTTTTGTATACAAAGAAGCTTCATGAAAGTTGAGTTTATTAACGTCTGGTTTTGATGAAATATGTCTTGTTGATATGTCTAATCATTCTTACATGAATTTATTTTATAATATCATATGTAAAATATGTCTTGAAGTGAAACATATGCCACCATTAATAACATTACAAAGATCTGTTTTTTATGTAAAAATTTATATGAACAATCACACATCGTTTGAAAGTAAAAATCAAGTGTTGCGATCAAAATCCTCGTTTCAAACTCACTCGTTGAAAACTGAAAATATTCGTGCAGAGAAATGTGGTAACACATGTTTGAGGTATCAAAATCAAACTTACGAAATTGTTTTGGTGAACACAAAGATTGTTGAGAATCAGAAATCAAACACAAGGAAAACATTTCCAAAATTCATTTGAAATATTCTGAAATGAACCACCAAACTACCTTCATAAGCACAATCAAAAATCACATCGTTAAAACTTTCCCAACTTACTCAAATTTAGTTTAAGCTTCGTTAATAGCAATCTCATAAACTGTCAAAACACCAAACTAAATTGATCCTTTTAAGCCACTCCAACCTTTACAAGTTCATTAAAAGCTATAAATACTTTCCAATATTGCATGAAACTTTCAACCACAACATTTGTCACGTTTGCAAAATAAAGGAAACTAATCAACTAAACGAGCTTTTGCCGTTTATTGAAACTTCATCAGTTTTATTGTCAACCAAGCCGCAATGTGTTAAAAATAAATATTTATCGATTTTTTGCCCTCTTTTTCACAATTTTTTTTCTTCTACTGATATTACTTACCACTTCAATATTTCATTATCGACATTTCACGACGAGAACTTTTACAGATCGAAACGCGGCACAATGTTTCTTGTCATTTTTTTCTGTCGCTGCTTCTTACCATTGATGTCTCTAGAACATTAGAGACACATCCGCTTTTCCTTCTCGTTTCATTTCCCAATTCAATGTCATTCCGAACCCAATTTAATTAAATTTTCTTCCTTTTTTTGCGTTTGTTTTCTTTTTAACAAGATATCGAACAAGGAAGGCGACAGGGGCAACATCACGGTAGCTTTGTTATGAATGCTAAAAGTTTCCATTTTCGGAATCAACGAAGGTTTTATTATTAAAAGGAAAAGGAATTTAAGGAAAAGAAGCTAAGGTAGATTCCAATTTCGTTTCTTCTTTGTTTTATTTATTTTTCTTTTTCCTCATTTCTTTAAAGAAGATGAAAATTTTACATTCTTAGAAAGATTTGACTCGAATTATTTTTCCTTTCAATTATTTTCCTCCTCCACTGCCTTGTTTTGTTATGATATCAATTTTATTTGTTTATTCCGATCATTGAATAATTTAATTCTCGTTTGCGTATTTGGAAATTTTGTTGATTGGGTGGGGGGAGGCAGAAATTAAATTGCTTTTTGTTCATTCATACACACAATAATTGTTCTTCACAAAAGCTTCTCTTTTATAAATTTTGCTTATACAGATAAGGACGATCAATATCCAACAGAATCGTTTTATGTTTTTAATTCGAATCTCCATCTGTTGTCATCTTTAGATTTATTAAACAATAAAGCTTTACGATCACTTTAACTTGAAGTTAAATTCTTCGATGTGAGTGTTTTCAATCTTAAATTTTCGCAATGACCCAACAAACCACTGAATAAAAGCTGAAAACTTTCACCCACTAACCAATCTATCTAGTGTTGATTTATAACCGAAGTGTGGGGGGAATTGACATATGCCATAGAAATTTCATATTTTCTCATCCACCCTGCTGTTGAAATATTTATCTTTGGTTAAATGGATGTCATATCATATTTCATTCATACGGATAACGTATTCAACAATATTTTTATGATTATTCTTTTGAAAAAAGCTTTTCTTTTTTTATGTTTGATGTCAAGATGAAAATGGTGCATTGAGTGAACGTCTCTGTGAGACTCATCCAAAAAAAATCACTTTGCTTCTTTATTTATTATCCTTAAATGATTCATCAAAAAACTACATTAACTGATATTTTTCAACTTAAATAGGAGAAGTTTTTCATCAAAATTACAAATGTAACTCGAGATCTACATTAAAATATTGCATAAAATGAATATTTTAACATGATTTAAACTTTGTAACACTATCAAGTTAAACTTGGAATTAATTAATTAAACTTTCAATTAACTACAGAAAATATTCATGAAAAGTTAATAAATTGATTAAATTTTCATTTTAATTTTTCCAATCATTTTACTCGAATTATCGTCAATAAAGTTGCGTATAGAGCAATAAAGTAAAAATTTAAATTTTTCACGGAAGCTTTTCCAACATTAAATTTTATTTTCTATTTCTATTCAATTGTAAAGAAGAACATTTTATGATTCTCATATCACTTTGTTTGATTTCAAATTTTCTATTCATTCAACATAATAAAAGAAACGAAGATATTTCCTTCATTCTCGGTTGGATAAACATATCTATCCGTTTTAGTTTATTTAATTTTTTTTTCTTTCTTGTATTAGAAGCTTATTTATATGCGGAGGTGCGTGCATGTGTTTTCGTGATAACTTTGATCCTCTGATAATATAATATCGTGATAGAAACGGGAATGGGAAAATATCTTATCTTCTACTAGTTATTTATGTAAAGGTTTATGTGCTTACTCTTGCGAAATTTTTCATATCGTAGGCAAAAATTTGAATAATCAAATAGATGGGCTGGCTAAAGTTTAATGTTCATTGTGAGAAGAAGGGTTTTTAATAACATCATTAAGTTGAGAATGAAAGTAGAAGATGGAAATAACAATGAAGATTAAAGCTCAGTGTTTTGGGGTTTAGCATTGTAAAACTATACACGCGAATAAGCAAAATGTCTACATCTAATGTTGAGAGAAGAGAGACAATAATCTCAAGTGAATCATTTCTGCTGTTTGTTTTTACTTTCTTCAATCTTCATATAATTTTATATATTTATGTGACATTATGCAAACGAAAGGAGAAATGAGATTGTTTAATGTTTCTGTTTATGTTCTCTAAAGGCATGAAACTGGTTAAAAGTTTCGACCTTGAATAAAAAAAAGAAAAACTTTAGATTGAAAATGTCATCATTTTACGATATTTGCTTCTCCTTTGCTTGTCTTTAGTTGGTGTCAACATCATTTGACTATGGAAACTTAACCAATCCCAATGCTTGTAAAGCGACTGCCATCTGCTCACATCTTCCTATGATAACATTAACGAAGGATTGGAATGATTTTGTTATTGAATTGCTTGCCTTCCCTTAAGCACAGCTCTCTGTCTATTGACATAGATGTAAAGTAGAAGCAAGATTTCTTTGCACGTCCCATGACGATATGGGAAGGAAGGGATGTAAAATTTTATTATTCAAAAAACATTTGGAGACGATAATTTCTCGTCTATTCATCTCATCTCACATGATGGAGAAAAAAGAACATTTCTCATGAAATATTTTGAGTGCGGCTGCTGTCAGCTTTGAAAGAATTTGTTTCTTGAGTGTCGCATTTTATTCTCCCTTTTTTTATATATTTTTTTTGGGTTTATGGGTTGTGTCATCATATATTCTACACATGATTCGGGCACAAATTATTTTTGATTTCCTATCTGATTCACTCACATTTTCTTAATCGTATTCACACTCTTCCAATTCTTAATTCAATACTTTTAGAAACATGATGTAAGTATGACATTGTTTATATTCCTTCATTTCTTTACTTTATTTAAAGCATCTGTCGACTTTTTTTTCCCAGAGAAGGAAAATATTTAAATTTGTCATAAAAATTTATGTGAATGCAAATTTACATAAAATTTATGCTAGTCGTCATCGATTGGTATGTCGCTCGTATGTATGATTTTTTATAAAAGTAAAGATTGCGCATATGATTCAAAATAACTCATGTGAAGCTTCATATCTGATGCTGTGAATTATTTTATATTTTTTCCCCATTTGACGAGAAAGTGAACATTAATTTTATTCATATTTTTATAGAACATCAACTCCCCATGTGTTCATTATTCTCTTCAACTTTTAAAAATAATATTAAAATCATTTCAATGCCGGAAATTAAAATAAAATAAAAAAAAAAGTTAAATCATAAATCAATTGAGACGAATAGAAAATGTCTGAGAATTTTCCGTCGTTTTTATTTCATTTTCCACCCTTCGTCATCATAACATTTGTCTGTGCATTAGAATCGTTTCATTTTAACTTTTCTTTTCAATTTCTTTCTTTTTCTGCGAAAACTTTTATTTATTCTGAGCTCAACACGAGAACTGAGTTGAAAAGCTTTATGTACATATACACGATTTTTGCATATAATCTTTTGCAAGCTTTTCTTTTTATGCCTTTTCAACTCGCTAACGGCATACACAGATGTATATATTTATGTATCAGCTTCATCATCTACTAACTTTGCCTTTCTCTCTTTGACTGCGATATATCATTCAATTTATATTTATACCCTCAAATTTGTCATCTTCAGATGTTGTGTCGTACGTTCCGCAGCAATATAAATTTAAACGTAATGACTTTAAGTATGTTGAGTGTGAGCGAAGCTTTTCTTTTTCCTTCCCCTTTTCCCGTCTCTCTCATTTTTCCTTTCTCATCACGCTTTCAGACTTTTTGATTTCATCGCGAGATTGAATCTGGGATTACATACTAAGAATCTCCTATCCATGTATTAAGATGAAACTTAATTGCAAATCTGATACTATAGTAATAAAACGTAATGCCTCTTAAATTGCTTCACTGAATTCTCATCATGCTTTGTTGTAAGAAAATGTTGCAATGATGATAGTCGCCTAACATATTGAAAGCGGAACATGCAGTGCGTATAAATAAACAATTGTTTGCAATTATGATAAGCATTTATAAATGTGCCCGTAAATTATCTTTTTCGTTATTACTTGATTTTTAATACAGACATTAATGGCCACTGGTTCTATTGTGAAATCCTTTGTTTAATGTTCCATTCTGCGCCATTGTTCTGTGCTTTACCATATCATCATTATTTCTTTCTCTCTTGCATTCTCTTTGGGGATCAATTGTTGGATAGTGGAAAATGTATGTTTTATTATTATTATTTTCTTGCCTTTCTTCCTTATTTCTTACTTTTTTTTGATTAAATGATGAAAGAGCGAGCGGAATGATTGTAACGAAGATTTTCATTTAATTTTTTTCTGTGTCATTGCCGTCTTGGTATTGTTGTCATCGTCTTTAAACGTGACACTAATTATTTCTTGATAATCGTAACAGCGCCTTCGTATTCCATTGGTATTCGAAGGGGATCACGATTAAGAAAGAGAGAATAAAAGCCGAGAACAATTTCTTCTTGAACCGTTTGTAAATCTTTTCTTCCATCTTCTGACATCATTCCAAAGTAGAGAAGTTTTTCTTCTATGTTTCGGTAGATTTGTATTTGACGATCCATCAAGTCTTGAGGGATTTCAAAGCGAAGATTAACACAACATGTGTCAGGTGTAATTGTACCCATTTTATTAGGTACTTGTGGTTGTTGTGTTTTAGAGTTGTACGATACTCTTGACTTCACTACAACTTCCGGCACTTTCTCGACTTGATCGGAAGCGTAAACTTTCTTTCTTCCACACATTTTCTTAATCAATGCTTTCACAGATGCCCCAAAGCTTATTACAACCGGGAAAGTCAGTTTTACTTAGTTCGTTACGTGTTCACTCCTCGATTGATATCACAATATTTTTATATTTATTCAACACAAACACACACGCAAACAAATGTATGGAGTAAAATTGCCCTTTCGATCAAATTTAATAAACGAAATTTTCTCTTCTCTTTTGATATTTCTATCGTTTGTTTTCACCACAGTCTCTGATTACTGTTGTTGTCTATTTATGAAGCGTATATTTTCCCTCTATCGTTATTCATATAAATCTTTTTTTTCCATTGAACATACACGAATCGCTAAAAAAAATCTGTACGTTGATTGTTTGAACTTGTTCTCAATGTTGACATTCGGCTTCAGGACAAAAATGGCAAGACTCGATCCTTTCACAAACAGCGGTTAAGTTATGATAAATATTTTTATATGCGAATTGTTTTCTAAGCTGTAAAAAGGGACGGAAAAAGAAAAGAAAGCTTATGAAAATTTGACCTGAGATTAAAGTGACTTTGTCATATAATGGTAAATTGTTTGCTGAAAGCTTTAGCTGTAAACCTTTTTATTCATTCTTTCCTTTTCTCCCATCACTTTCCATCTAATGTCAACTCAACATGAAACTCATTGACTAATTTGTCGTAAAAAAAATAATAATAATAATAAGAAGAAATGAAAAAAGAGCTTTTAAGTATAAATGAGTGAAGGGAAAAGTTTTTAACTTAGTAATGCATGAGTTGACTTTGCTGTAAATTTATTAGATACCACAAACATTAATAATTCAATGAAAATCCATTTTCTTGATCATATTTTTCAACGACAAAACTTTTCTCTTTGCTGGTGAGAATTTGTCAAATAAGCAAATCAGCTCAAACTTTTCCCCACTGATTCAAATCGGTCTATGGACCTTTTCATAACGGAAAAAGAAAGCAAAAGAACATAAAAAAGTTTACATCTAAGTTCCCCTTTCCAGATGCCATAAATGGATTCAATGGCTGTCCTTTTTTACAACCAATAAAATGAATTAGACATAATAATATTTCCCAAAGCTTCCATTAAAGGCTTCAAATAAATAAATCTTTTTTGATAATGTACCATTCACTTTACTTTGCTTTGTAGAGATTGATCAGAAGACAACTCGAATGAAATAATTCTCTCTGCGTTTACTGAAATAAACTGACTCGGTCGACAGGAAGGAAAGCACTACGATGTTGAGGATGAAAATACTTACTGTTGAATCTATTAAATTGTATGAAAAAAGAGCGAACGGAAATGTTTTGAGGGACGGTTGACTGGAAATGTCAACGAATTTCCCAAGTTCCGAAAGGTTCAGAGATAAGAATCTCTACGCGACATAAATCACAGATTCACCCTCGAGGAAAAGAGATGAAAGATATCGAGTTTGCGCAATTGTTAAAAAAGCTCTCTTCTCATCAAATTGCAAGTCTCTTAAACAGCAAAAACCATGCCATATCAACACGACGTTAAACTTGCCAGCATTTGAAATGAACATTGGTGTGGGATTTTCAAATGCTTTTAATGCGACATGATAGTTAAAAACAAGTTATGAGGGTCCAATTTCAAGCATTTAAGAGAAGAAGAAAAGGCACGTTTGAGTTAATTCCTGAAGAGATTCTTTCTAGAGCTTCATCGTAATCATTTGTATGCTTTTATAGGTTTTCATGTGTCACAGAATCTCTATCATGTCAATGATATGTAGACAACAACATTCATCGTAAGCCTTGAAGATACGAAGCATGAAGTGCTTTTATTGATTTCTTCTACTTTCAAACTCATTTAACTTAAACTGTTTATGCTTTTCCACAATTTCCCACTTACATATAGTCAGTCGTAGACACTTTGCTTGGATATCCGTTCTGCTTTCGACATTACATTTATGATTATTTTATGTGCAATTATTTTTCTCCATCGACATTCCTTTTTTTTGAATGAGAAGTTATAATGAACTCGAGGGAAAACTTACGCTTCGTCGTCCGCATTCAAGATTATCATCATCAAGCAATCTCTTTCCACCCTTTTCACTTATGAAAATATGATGAATCAGACAGAGAAGGTGAAACTCTTTTCAATGAACGTGAATACATCGCTTGATGAGAACACAAAGAGATATCTAAAGCAAACAACATGAGATAAAAAAATAAAGCTTCCACATGACACTTAATGGAAATATTTCGTTCATTATAATCGTTTGTTATCACATTATTGAGTTGAGTTTGTGAATGAGCTTTAGGCCTTACCTATGTCATTACATTGTTCCTCTCATGTTATTAAATACAAAAAAAAAAGCAGTTCAGGTTTGAAATTTTCAAATAAAAGTTAATGAAAGTCGTAACAACAAAAACGAATAAATTTAAAATGACATGCGAAAACGGTAGTTTGAGATAATTAAATTTCCCGTAACAGGAAGCGATATTGTGTAGTGTCAGATTTTACGAGCAACAACATTTTAACGATCTCATTGTTTTTATTTCATGATCTAAGCTTATTTGTGATGCTTAATGATTATGACGTATAAGTATCTCATCATTAATTACATGCTGAAAGGATTATCAAGTTTGTTTTTCCATCTTCATCTCCTTAAGTTTTCTTTTGCGCTTAATTAAACGTGCTAACGTCTTAAGAAACTTTCCGAATCGTCATGAACACACAAATTTCTTATTTTTTGTTCCTCTTTATGTATCTACAATTATGAATGTGAATTCGCTTGGAAGTTTTTAATTAAATCTCAGAGAAGAAGTGGGAGACGGAGTGAAATAAAAAATCATGATTCAGTGAATGAGCGTAAAATTTGTGCTGAAATATTTGTGAAAAGCTTAATAAAGACCACCGCTAAGTATTGGTGCTGAATCGTAAATGTAACGGACAATGCTTAATTGAGAAATATGTTTCAAAAAAAGCATAAATTGTTCAGCATAAAAATGAAATTTCTTTCTCATTCATTTTGTGCTTTTCGTTTTGCAAATAAGATATCTAAAGATATTTATGCAGTAACTTTTCAGACGAATGAAATAATTTTATTTCCATTCCATGAATATTGAAATAATGAGCAGATGTTTGTATTTTTTTGAAGATTTAAAAGATATCTTGGGATATTCTTGAATATGCTGCAAGCAGTTGTATAAAAGTTTAAGAGTTCTTAAAGGAAAGTCAGAAGAAAGAAAAGCAGCAATGCGGTGATGATTCGTTTTAATGCAGTTTGTCGTGCTTTAACTCGGTTACAATTTAAACTTTAAGAATTAATTTAATTTTTTTCTTCTTGCAGTAAAGTTCGCATAAAAATGAAAATTTAATAAAGAAAACCCTCGTCGAGAAAACTTTCATAACGGCGTCGTTATCATAAATATTTATGCAATGATAAAACGATGAATCAACGTCAAATGTTGGTATAACATTAAAATGATAGCTTCAAAGTTGAACAATGTTACAATCCTTTTAATATTTAACATGAAATTAAAAAGAATTCTTGTTTTGTTGTTTGGATATAAATTTTCAATAACATTTTTATTGTTGTTGGATATTTGATTGAAAGTTGAGATTATAATGTTGAAATTTTATAAAGTTTTATGTAAAATTTATTTAGGAGGTGGAGATAAAGTGAGAATATCTGTTCGTGTTGAATATTGATATGGAATTAAAGTGAAGCACATGATAACATAGAGAGCCGTTACAATCAGAAAAGAAAGTCTGTCTAAGAACGAACAAATATTTCGCCATATTTTATTATTAACTGAATTTGTCTTCTCGCTCGGTTCAATCAAAATATTTTCATCAGTTTGTTTGCCGTTTTCTTTATCATCACCAAAAACAATCAAGCCAAGATGCTTTTCTTTAATGAAGATTACGAAAGACTTGATGAAGTCAGGAGGTGTTGACTCAGTTAGGCACATATTTCTAATCACGAGTGATTGTAACATCAGATAACATGATGTGATGAGTGAATTTCTTACAAATATCACTGAAAAGTTATGCGTGGAAATTCAATAAGAAGCTAAAAGTAAATAAAAAATATTCCACGTACATATTCTTGGTGTTGTGCTTCCATCATGCGGAATCATCCAAGATAATTGATGAAGAGTTTGAAAATGAAGAAGAATGTTGAAAATCAATAAGAAAAATCTTTCGTTCATTTCTTGATTAATCGACATTGCCAAAATATTAATGATAATCAAAATTACAATGGATGCTGTGAAAGAAAAGAAATTATGACAGAAAGATGACTCGCCAATGATCTCACCTCCGATAATTCTCAAGATTAATGCTGAATGTCTTTCAATTACAAAATAGTAAGCTAAATTAGGATAATTTGCTGATGAAATAGAAATCGATTTCTTTGTAACTCCAGTTTGAATTAATTTCCATTCTGTGTCGAGTCCATCCGCATCATCGATAGAAGTATTTCCAACTTTGTAATCAATTTCGTCTTCACTATTCATCCATGGACCGAAAACCATTGTGCAATTTTGTACATCAAAAGGCCATGAATTGTAATTGGATTGGCAATGTGCAACATAAGTGCACGGTTCAACACATATCACATCTCCATTGTTTGCAATATAACAACTGGTTTCATGGCATGATCCAATACCGTAAGATATATCACTAGATAAAAGACGAATTTAGATTTACTCCCATTATTTCATTTTGAAACAAAACTTACGCATTGAAAAGTGCAAAATCGGGTCTCCAAATTGTAGACGAAGTCACATCGATGTCTTTCAAATTATCATATTCTGATTTATCCCATTTCAGAAATTCATCTTTCCATTTCTTGGTAAAACATTAATTAGAATTATTTCATAAACAAGATAACAAATGAACTCACATTCACCATCCATACATTTAAAGTTAACGTTGAGCCATGTTCGTTCTGAAAATATTATTCATAATTCATTAGGAAAATGTTTCTTTCGTAATCTTACTGAATCTTACAAAATCTAAATTTTTTATGAACATTTTAGCATTAATCACTGTTGGTGTCTTATGACTTTTAACAGGTCTGACTGTGCTATCGTAGCCATTACAGAAAAGAAGTCGTTTAACTCTACTCTCAGCACTGTTATCTTCGGAATTACAATTTATGCCAACTGCAATGGAATTAAATTATCTACTAAGGTAAGAAAACAATTTGCATATAAATTTTAATCTCTTACAACAGAATTTATTAAGACTCAGAACTAAAACAATAAACTTAATTAAGTATTTCATTTTGATGTTAACTTTTCAAAAAATCAACTGAGAATGAATCTGAATATATTCAAAAACTCCCCTAAAATTTTCAATTTCAGTTTTTAATTGTCAGATAAGCGCGGGCGTTTCAATAAAATGTTATCAAATGATTTAAACCATTGAGTTTTGTCGTAAAAAAAGCGTGCTAATCGTGAAAGAATTTTCATTCCATTCAAAAGCTGATTTATTTTACTCTCGGATAAAGTTATTGTTAGCACTTCATTTCCTTTGTTTGATTTTCAGTTCCCCAAATGAAATCATTGTCATAAAATTGTGTTGAAGAAGAGATGGATGGAAAAGTTTATTGGAGTTTTTAATGAAATTCGCATCATGAGAATTTGAAACATTTCAAACTTCATAAATTATATGTACTGACTTCAAATCCTTTTTATAGTCACAATTATTGAAGCATAATCTTTTCATCATAACAGCGCTTTGAAAACAATCAAAATATCATAAAAATTAATGTTTCGGCAATGAAATATTATTTCTGATAAAAAAATAACGAACTTTGAAATTTCAAATCTTCAGAAATTTATCAAGGTAGTTTGACACCCTTTAAGCAAGCAAATCTCCTAGGAGACCGAATTCAGTTTTTCATAGATTAAGCAAATTAGAACTCGAAGTAGAAAAGCTTCAGTTCGTTAATTGAAATATAATTTTTTATATTCCAGTAAGTCGCTGTCACAATGGTTCACTACACGAAATTATTGACCCACCAGGTAAGTGTTTCAATCAACAGCATGAAATTTTTCATATTCAATTCTTTGTTTCTCTGATATTTAGAATTAAATTTTTTTTTCTTCATTTTGCGACGATTATCTAACAATTTTTCGACGTGAAAGAATTTTTCTAAAAAACATTTCGTCTCGAAAATTGTTGATAATAATTCGTTAAGTCAATTGGGCATTTAATAACCATTCACAAAAACCATAATGTCCTGATAAGAAAGCTAATTTAATATTTTAATGCATGAAGTGAGACAGAACTGATTAAATAATCGCTCAATACATCGTTAATGACATTTTTCACGAATAGTAGCTTCACGTATTCTTACAATCAAGAAGCCTGCACATGAGATAAAACTTGAACTTGTTTATGTATAAGTCTGTGATGTTCTCTTCTTTTAATTTACGCATTTTCTAAATGATTAAGTTCAAGATTTTTCTATTTATATTTTTATCGATTTTTCTTCTTTTTTTTAATTTGAATGTCATCTGTGAATTGATATAATTAATTCTATTCTATAAAATGTATTGTAGGCAAAACGAGCTGCTCTTTATGCCGTCGATGCCCAACAAAGATGGTTCCATGCGAGCTGTGCCGTCAGCAGTAAAGTCGCTCTTTCAAAATTCGACAGCAATGTTTACTTGCCATATGAGAAGCTCGTCCAACGTTTAGATGTTGTTAAGAAGCGTCTCAATCGTCCTCTTACAATGTCTGAGAAAGTTTTATACTCGCATTTGGAAGATCCGCAAGGACAAGACATTGAACGTGGAACGTCATACCTTCGTCTTCGTCCCGATCGTGTTGCAATGCAAGACGCAACTGCACAAATGGCAATGCTGCAATTCATCTCATCAGGATTGAAGCGCGTCGCTGTTCCATCAACAATTCATTGCGATCATTTAATTGAAGCACAAATTGGTGGCGACAAGGATTTGGCTCGTGCTAAAGAACTTAACGAAGAAGTTTATCGTTTCCTTGAAACTGCTGGAGCCAAATACGGCGTTGGATTCTGGAAGCCCGGTTCTGGTATCATCCATCAAATTATCTTGGAAAATTATGCTTTCCCAGGTCTCTTAATGATCGGAACTGATTCTCACACACCAAATGGCGGTGGTTTGGGTGGTCTTTGCATTGGTGTTGGTGGCGCTGATGCTGTCGATGTCATGGCTGACATTCCATGGGAATTGAAGTGTCCAAACGTCATTGGCGTTCATTTAACTGGCAAAATCGGTGGATGGACATCACCTAAAGACGTAATTTTGAAAGTCGCTGACATTCTCACTGTCAAAGGTGGAACTGGCGCGATTATTGAATATCACGGAAAAGGCGTCGATTCAATTTCTTGCACTGGTATGGCCACCATTTGCAACATGGGAGCTGAAATTGGTGCAACAACATCAACTTTCCCGTTCAATTCTCGTATGGCTGCATATTTGAAATCAACGAAACGTGACGACATTGCTGCTGAAGCTGGAAAGTTCAAAGAAGCTTTGTTGAGTGCTGATGCTGGTGCAAAGTACGATCAAGTGATTGAAATCAATTTGGATACCTTAGAGCCACATGTCAATGGTCCATTCACACCTGATCTTGCACATCCCATCAGTAAACTTGGAGAGAACTCCAAGAAAAACGGTTATCCAATGGACATTAAAGTTGGTTTGATTGGTTCATGCACCAACTCTTCATATGAAGACATGGGACGATGTGCTTCAATTGTTAAGAATGCTTTGAAACATGGTGTGAAGTCAAAGATTCCATTCAATGTTACACCAGGATCTGAACAAGTTCGTGCGACAATTGAACGTGATGGAATCGCACAAACACTTCGTGACTTTGGTGGAACTGTTTTGGCGAATGCTTGTGGTCCTTGCATTGGTCAATGGGATCGTCAAGATGTTAAGAAAGGTGAGAAGAACACAATTGTGACTTCTTACAATCGAAATTTTACTGGACGTAACGATGCCAATCCCGCAACTCATTGCTTTGTCACAAGTCCTGAACTTGTCACAGCTTTGTCGCTTGCTGGTCGTTTAGACTTCAATCCACTGACTGACGAATTGACTGGAACTGATGGCAAGAAATTCAAATTAGATTCACCATATGGTGATGAGTTACCAGCCCAAGGTTTTGATCCAGGTCAGGACACATACCAAGCACCACCATCTGTAAGTATAAAACTTTAAATTCTTCTTTTCATGTTGAAAAGTTTTCATTTAATTGTCAGGATGGATCGGCTGTTCGAGTTGATGTTGATCCAAAGTCAAATCGCTTGCAATTGTTGGAACCATTCGATAAATGGGACGGCGGAGATCTCAAAGAAATGACTGTGTTGATTAAAGTGAAAGGAAAATGTACCACTGATCATATTTCAGCTGCTGGTCCATGGTTGAAGTATCGTGGACATTTGGATAACATCTCCAACAACATGTTTATTGGCGCAACAAATGCTGAGAATAATGAAATGAATAAAATTAAGAATCAATTGAGTGGTGATTGGGGTGGCGTTCCAGATGTTGCTCGTGTTTACAAGTCGAAAGGAATTCAATGGGTTGCTGTTGGCGATGAAAACTACGGCGAAGGTTCATCTCGCGAGCATGCTGCACTTGAACCTCGTCACTTGGGTGGACGTGCAATTATCGTTAAATCATTTGCTCGTATTCATGAAACGAATTTGAAGAAACAGGGAATGTTGCCATTGACCTTCGATAACAAAGCTGATTATGATAAGGTGAATTTTAGATATTCAAAAGTTTTAAAACTTTAATTATTTTAAAATTCTTTCATTTTAGATTCAACCAACTGATAAAATTACAATTCTTGGCTTAAAAGACTTTGCACCCGGAAAACCATTGTCTGCTGAAATTAAACATGCTGATGGAAAAACAGAAAAGATTACATTAAATCACAGCTTCAACGATCTTCAAATTACTTGGTTCCGTGCTGGCAGCGCTTTGAATCGTATGAAGGAGATCGCTAAATAAATTCTTTATCTGAGCTAGATTTTCATTCATTTCGACTTTATATGACTATATTAGTGGTTGAAAAAAATCGAAAAGTTTTGTTAAAATTATTTATAATTCTAGATGAAAAAACGAAACCATTATGCAAGTAGAACTTCAAATTGAAAAAAAAAAACTTAACGACGACGTGAAGATTAAATGATAAAGTCTTTTAAAAAACATAATTATTACTTTTACCGGTATTATTGATAAGTTTGGAAAGATCAGCTTGATCGCAGATATTAATTCGATGGGGGAAAATCATGTTATTGATCAAAGCACCAAACTGAATCTTGTGTCATCCACTGAAGTTTTAATAACTAAAATAAAAGATCATTAAAATTATAATTGATTGATATTTCATTCAAAATTTGACAATAAAAAGAATTTATTTGAAATTTGATTGGATCATTAAGGTATTAATTAAAGTGTTCAAGCTAGGATTGAAATCTTTTTATTTTAATTATCTTAGATGTAAATAAATAAAACAGAAGTAGTGCCATCTAGCGGAATATTTATTTGAAATGTCAAAGCTCGTTATTTTGTAAGAAATTATAAAACGAGCAACTTCCACCCGCATTCATTTAAATACTTATGTGGTTTGGAAAATTAGAATTAAAATTAATTAAGTTATCGAACAAACATGGAACTGTAAACATCATAAGTTTCCAGTTTAAAACTCGTTTTCTTGCAATTATTTATGTGTAGATCATTAACAGAAAATGCAACGAATTCTTACTCATTTTATTACAGAATAATCTTTTAAAGTATGTAATTAAATTACATTGAGAATAATTTGTTACTACATTTGAGGTTCATTAAACTCATAAATATTACAAAATTAAATCACTGACATTTGTCGAATGTATGCTTAAATATTTCATGAAAAACATTGCACAGAGAATTTTAACAAAAACATTTTCTTAATTCTGTTCATTTTATTAATGAAAGAAGAAAGTGAAAATAAATGCGCGCAAAATATGAATGAAAGATATAGTGAATGTCGTGGGTGCATGAATATATTATTAGCAAGCTAGGTAGGAGAGTTTTAAAATGATTTAAATCTTCTTCATCAGGTTAATAAGATTGAAAATAAATCATCGTTGGACTGTCTAATTTGGGAGATTTTGAAGATAAACTCGCTCTTAAATTGTGCAATTTCGACTTTTCGCAAGGAAATAAATCAAAGGAAAAAAGAATTCTCTTGTCGATGCAAAAAAAAAACCAAATGGTTGAAGATGCGGCGCCAGATTATTTTCTTATTGTTCTATTATTTTATCAGCTAGTCAAGAATCGAAAAAAGTTTGAAGATATTTTTATTTCGACGTGGTCAACAGAAAGGTTCAATCGATTGAATGCCAAGAATTTTTTTTTCAAATGAAGATTTTTGTCATTTTGATTGTCCAATTCGATGAGATTTATGAATATTTCCATGACCTCAAACCACGCCAATGAAGCTACGAACGCAGCTATAAAAATGTACTTTTATTACCATCCAAAACACTTCGAAAACGGGAAAAGTCTTTTTAATTTAAAGAATCATTCGATGAAATGAATAAAGTAATTCATTAATTAGAAAAAAGTTAAGCCAGTTGGCGCAACTCAAGATTTATATCTTATTTGATTCTCTTAATTATCTTCAAATAGATTTTTATTGTGTCTTCTTCGGCACTATTAGGCAAATTGCGCAAGACACTCAGCCAAGATTGCGACAAAAGATTTTAGAAATAAAAAAAAGTGTCGAAGCTTTCACGCATCGTGTCGTGTCGCGTATTTTATTTTTAAATCATCTCGTCTTGACTGCTAACAATAGTTTGAATTCTTTTGTTTCTTTACGTTCCTTACTAACAAAATAGTGAAACATTTGGAACAGCCGTCTCTGTTGCAGTTTCAAATGTGATGAAAATGTTTTCGATTGATTTTCCTTTCTTCTCAAAAAAGTAACAAAAGTTTTCTGTCTTGGCATGTGATCAAATGAGTGACAGACACGGTGCTTAGAGGTAGAATCATGAGGCGGGAAATGAGATAAAACACGAAAAAGAAAATATGAAAGAAAAATTTCATTCGCTCTCCCCCCCCATCACGAATAAGTTAATTAGCTTTCATTAATTTTCCTTCTGGTTTTTGCAAAAATTATTGAGATGAAACTGAATGAGTGGAAAAATTATTCAATCATGAAGAAGAAAACCAACGCGAAAGACTCCACAGATGTTCGTTATGGTTTTCTCTCGATGATGAGAACGTCATGAAAGGCAGCCTCATGAACAAGTGTCTGGCAAAAAAATATAATTTTTTGTTTGCATGGCCTTGAAATGTTTCCACATTTTTCATTCACTTCATTCAATCATTCATTCATTATGACAAGGAGAAAAGTTAAAATTTATTTACGAGATGCAAAATTAAGACGAATTGACGTGAAAGATTGCATCCTGGATCGACGGATTCTGATTAATGTTTATAATATTTTATGATAGCTCATGAAATGCTTTAGCGGATTATCATAACTGAATGTTTGAGAAAAATTTTACGGGGGAGAGAAAAGGTAAGGATGAAATCTTCGAGAAAATATAAAGAGTGATGATGAGAAAAGTAAGCAGGTGTTAGAGCACTAAGAAGTTTCATATAAAATAAAACAATCTTACCCTATTGTTAGTAAGAAATCGAACCAAGTCGAGTCCGAAAGATGATGAAGTGAAGCGAAAAAAAAACATTACGTGACGTAAATATTTGATCCCCTTCTACCTGTCCATCCACTCCACCTTTCACGTGAATCACCAGTCTACAATTACCAGTTTCTAAAAGTTTTAGGAAATTTGAAATCAATTAATTGAACCAGGTGTTTAGATGTCGATTGAACATGTTTGTTCTACATACTCGTGTAATTACAAATCGTCCGAAACGAAGACGTTTATCAGAACAAATTTTATTTGAATTTAAGCTGAGCAGCGTTGCTTGAGTAATTACACCTTTGAAGTCGATTCATTTCAATTTCCGCCCCTTTTTTTTCTCTCTCTTGATGTTTATATCATGCAAAAACTAAAGAAAATAAATATCTGACTAAATGTGGTTACGATATTAACAGGAAGCATAAATTATTAAAGTCAAAATATCTTACCAACACCGATGTTGGTACTTTTGAATAATAAGCAAAAATTGACTTTGAACTTGATCTTTTGATTATGCAACCTAATTTTGAAGTGCTTCATGCAAAGAATGCAGTGTGGAATCTTGAATGGAATTGGTGATGATGACGATGACGATGATGATGTGCAAAGAAGGAGAAGAGAATGAAGAGAGAAATTACTTTGCACCTGTCTTGAGTGTTATTCTCCAATTGCATCACTTAAATGAAAAACATCTGATTAAAGGTAGAACTAAGTAGATGGTAAGCGGATCATGAGAAGGAATTTTTATCCGTTTCTGTGTCGAATTGCGATCGCCTTAATTTGTTTCATTGCCTTATACCACGACCACCTGAATTCCTTTCATCATGTTTGAAAGAACAACATTCGCTTCCTTCTTCAACATCATTTTAGTTTCCTTTCCAGTCCTATAACTTTATAGCCTTAGACAACAACGAAAATCTTTTTTTTCTGTTGCTTTCATTCGTTCATGTTATTCTAAAAGCCTTTTTTTATGATGTTTATTCAAATATATGGATGGAACATGACGTACAGGTATTCATTCATTCACAGTTTGATGCACGTTCTTCTCCTATGCAGATGAATGTTGCTTTCATTATTTTCTAAAACATTGTTTTGTTTTACAAAAAGGAAGAGAATTAAGAACAACGAAACAGGTGGCTTTAATTCTATTTATTTCATTCGCATTTGAATGGAATTTCTCATGACTGATGAAAGAACTTTCATGAAGAGAAATGATGTTGGTGACAGCATTTCATAAAATGAGATTGTTTGAATAGCAAGTGTCGTTGCGAATGTTACAAACATGTATCAGTTTGTTCTCATCTTCCTTCTCTGCTTTTTTCAAAAAAAAAACCATCAAAATTACAAATTTTCATGCTTATTTAGGAAATGAAAACAAAAAAAAAAGCCACTTGAAATGGAAAGAAAAAAAACTTGAAACTTTTATTATTCAATTAGCATTCGTGGTTGTTTGACTCGATTATGGTGCACACGAAATTCTTATCTACTGAAAATATTTTAATGTTTGATGAATCAAAGCGACAAGCGAAGTTAAAAAATTTCACCAACTGAGCTGCAAGAACACAGAAAAAATTGTTTCGTTGCCATAAAACATTCCGAAAACGCTTCCGATGAGATTGAGAGGGTTGTGAAAATATTTCGATGTCAAAATTCACAACCCAGGCGAAATCGACATTTCATGAATTTGCTTTTATATTTAGGTAACTAACAACATCAGTAAAAACAAAATGTGTGATGTTGTGTAAAACATAATGAAAATATTTCGTCTTCTCCTGATGTAAGCGCATTCATTGCTGTCTGTTGAGATCGTTCGCGAAAAGGAGAAGACGAAAAGACTTGTAAGGCAATAACAAGCATTTCACATTCCGCGATATCAGTCGAGAAAGATCACGATTTTTTATTCTTCTTTCATAAGTTTCGCTTTTTTTTGTCTCATCGTGATTTCGTTGATGCATAATGACTTGCATTTAGAATTCAGAGCGCATGGTGCACTTTTGGTGGTGGAATAAGAATAAGAATGAAAAAAGAGACGAAAATGAACAAAGGAATAAATAAAATGTGCAATTTAATGTCCACTTCCAGTTGCCTCTGTTGATAACAACAACCGAGAAGACGACACAATAAGAAACATGTGAATCGAACACTTTCCAAATTCTGTTTTTAATTTATCTCAGGTTGCACTTTCGTCTCAAATTTCGTCGCAGATCTTGTTAATTCTTGTTCTCTGCTTCATTCCTTAATGTCAAGTAAAGTGACGTTGTCGCTTAATCGCGTCTCGAAAAGTAAGCACTGCTTCGTTAACTTCATAAAATGCTCAGCCGCGAAAGGTTTTAACACCTGGTTTTATTATGCTTTTGCAATTTTCTGCGTCATTATAGTAATTTGTGCAATTGCAGTGCATTTTCGCGAGAACACCGCAAAATAAAAGCTGCTGTGCGCCAGGCTCTAGTCATCAAATTATAACCAAAGTGTAAAATTCATTTTCAGTCAGTGCTAACTTGAAGCACTTCACTTGCTTTCGAATCCCAACAAGCACACGTCAATTAAACTTCCAATCTGTCTCAAATTGCTGCTAATAAAATTATTAAAAACATTTTAAACTGATGTAATAATGAATGAAATTGCAGTTTATAAAATTATCTATTAAACAACTAGTTGGATATTTAAATATATTCAATTTTATGCTGCTATGTGTTGGACATCTAAAATGTGATTGATCTAAATCTAAGCTTATTAATCTTGATCATTAATACATTAATTATATATGTGCATAGTTTTATTATGTAAAGTGAACAATTACTTCACGAAATTTACGCAAGGGAAGCCTTTTTTAAAGGAAAATGTTGATTTGTAATTAAGTTTACGAATCAATAAATCATAACACTTAAAAACATTAAAATTCAATTTCTTTCGTCTGATCACAAATTACAAAAGCAGCAAATTAATTAAAGTTGATTCAAGATTGAACCAGAATTCAAATGTCTCGAACCTGTTGGTTGAAGAGCTGCTTGCTTTCAAGGCGTTAGAAGTGACATTCAATGTTCTGCAATCAGTCTTGTGAATTTGTAATCAAACTCATGTATTATTTAATATTCACTTTATGCAATTTGCCGGAACATTTTCCGATACGGTCTTTCTGTTCCTTCGCATCTCGCAAATGCGACAATCGAATTTCATTTGAATTTCTGATCGAATGCGATCAAACTGATCGTTATCAACCGCAAACGTTGCATTGTTTGTGTGCATCTTGTCAAAATATGCAGACAATCGAGAAACACAAAAAATTTGAGTCTTGTTTTGGCTTGACGACATTCTTGTGGCTCTCATTCGAACCCGAAAAATATCAGAAAACGTAAAGAATAAAGAAATAAATCAAATCAATGCATGTCTTGATCGCTATTTACTTTTTTTATGTTGTTTGACGCAAATTCCCTTGGGGACTTTTTTAGTTTTGATGCTTGTTTATGAAGTTAGTGAAGCTCTCGAACAAACATTCGTTCTGATAAATTTAACTAACAAGATTTTTTTTTTGATTAGAAGTTGACATTTGTTTTTGTTTAATGCCAATGGAATATTGAAACGATGTTTTGCTTTTAATTAGAAATTTACGTGACTATTTCCACATAATTAAGGCAAAAAAAACATTTGCAATCTTGCATCATATGAATTATGTAAATTCATAATTCCAAAACATTAAACTAACCAAAAGTCTAATAAGCTTGATTAAAACTCGATCACAAATCTGTTTACAAATCACTTAAATGACTTTAAATTCCAGACATATTCAATTAATTAATGATTTTTTCATCGCACAAGAAAATGTCTTGATTGTATTTCATTCCTTCATCTTGTATGTTCATAAATATATTTCATATTTTATCATCGTTGTGCAATCAACAGCAGATTTTTTTCATATTAATTTGCACATATTTTACACTCAAAAAATTACCAAAGCTTTTCTCTCTCTCTCTCTCTCTCATGTTAAAGCTTAATTAGTCAGAAGTGCGTTAATGAATGCATGAAAGTGTTTCTTGATCAATTAAAAAATATCCTCAGTGATGGAATTTAATAAATAATAAATTTCGCAAGCGTCATGATTTACGTTTTTGAATCAATCATAATTATGGAATTTGGAATGAAAAATCAAGTTTTTTTAATTTGCGACGTGAGTAAATTTCTAAATTAGATAAAAAGATATTTTGCTGCCATCTGAATGACATTCGAACCTTCAGGAAGAATGCGATTCACTGCAGTTCAGACAGATGACTTCAACTTGAAATTTATTTAAGTGACAGTTGAGCTCGATGCAAACAATGGACGATTAATGTCAGTGTTTCTCATATAAAGTAGAAATTGTGCAAGGAACTCAATTTAACTCAATGGAATGACTTTTTCGGCTTTAAGTTTTGTAATAAAGAAGAAAAAAATGCTGACCATTGAAATGTTTGACGCAGTCACATAAAAATGTCATTAAAATGGGAGCACGAACTTTTACTGATTGACTAGAACTTGAAAGGATCAGAACATGCTTTAAATGAAGATTAATCACATCTGATGATGGAATTGAACATACAGATGAATTTCTTTAAGTCATCTGAGTCAATTAATTGGAAAATCGACGTCAAATATATTAATGACCCAACCAACCATTCAACACTAAAACTTTTGCGACTCTCCACTGGAGCATTTCATCTCATTCCGGCATCTGGATTTGAACTTAACACATTTGTTGGCTTCTACAATCCAAAAATATTCAACTTAAATGAAAATAAATAAAAGAAAAACGCCACGTTCGAGAGGGAGAAAGACCAACAAAAGATTCTTTTGAGGAATGAGAGACGAGAAAGAAAGAAAGAAAAAAAATTTGTTTACGATCAAGAAATGTGTGGCTGGCTTGTTGTATAAATTATTATGTTTTCATCATCTGGTTTCACATTTGAGAAATGAATATTTTCGGGGTATATGCAAACGAAGAATGTATAAATTTCCTGTTTGTATCTCATAATTCTTTTCGGGCGGCCTGGGCCCAGGAAGCGACGTCTTCAATATAAAAGTTCTATTTTTTTGGGTGATCTGTTTACACGTTTTCACATTTATATTTCTATTTGAACTTAATCCTCTGACATCGGTAACAAGCTAAAAGAATAAATAGCTGTATGTTGATAAATATTTTGCCCCCCATCAATTGATATTATTATTAGTCTCGACATTGAATGAACCGTTTTTGTCGTCCGATTGCCACGTGATGATTGAAGAAGTCATTGTGACAAAAGACCTTCATTATTGTCACGCTTCTTTCTAATGTATATTCATCGCGTATCTGAAAGCATATTGCCAATAACATTTTACAATAAAACGCATCTGCTTCGATTTGAATATCAATTTAGATATCAAATTTATGTCGATTGCTCTCTGTCGCTGTGAACAGATGCGTTTAGCAGCGGAAATCGTAGAAGTTAAGGAAGTAAGAAAGAGTTCTCGTTGATTAATTCGTCTTCAAAGGGGTTCTTCTTGTTATCCATGTTGTTGATGTATCATGATATCGAGTAGTTTGCATAACACCAACTGAATGAAATGAAACTCTTGAAAAATCAATCAACATTTTGTTGCTTTTTTTCCATCACATTTCCTCGTCATAAATTCTATTGAGTAGTTTTTTATGGGTCTTGCCTCGAAATTTAAATTTATTTCTATTCTTTTTAACTGCAAAAGAGATTTTCATTCATGCTGAGTCTTTTCGTGTCGTAAAATCACATTGAAAAATTGCCTTTTCTCTTTTTCGATGGCTTCC